GGAGTTTCCTTACAAATTGGTATCAGAGCCTTCATCCTGGGGCGAACGAGGAAGATGACACAGAAAAGGTTGGAAGAACGTTGCGAGGCAACGGAGAATGAGATCACGGGTATGAAGGAAATGATGATTGTCATCCGCGAAGATGGAGAACGAACTCGGAAGTTGCTCGAGCAATTCATGATAGAGATCATTGCAGGGCGGGGAGAGCAAACTGTATCTACCGTGGGCGAAGGATCATCCAAGCAATAGAAAACGACGGAAGGAGTAGTTAAAACGGATGATCAACTAGAGAATGGATCTGATCGAAGCAAATTCAAAAAAGTAGAAATGCCGATTTTCGCAGGAGTGGATCCAGATTCCTGGTTTTTTTTGAGCTGAGAGGTTTCTCGAAATTCACAAACTCACTGATTTGGAGAAAATGACTGTAGCAGTTATTAGCTTCGATGGTGTCGCGTTGGCGTGGTACTGGTATATGGAGAATCGAAATAGCTTTGTGGATTGGGACGATTTGAAGAATCGTCTGTTTAAGAGGTTTCAACCGTCTAAAGAGGGGAAGCAATGTGCGAAACTGCTTGCAATCAAACAGGAGACTACAGTTACGGAGTTTCGCGAAAGGTTTGAGGCACTTGCAGCACCTCTACTCAGATCGCTGATGAGGTTTTGGAGGGAGCGTTCTTGAACGAATTGGATCCGATCATTCGGGCCAAGGTTTTGGCTATGGAACCTAAAGGTTTGGATCAAATCATGCGAAAGGCCCAATTGATTGAGGATATCGGTCTGGCAGACCAAGAGGCCGGAGAATTGAACCCGAACCAGGTGACAAAAAAACCGGATACCACCATCGCGAAGACTATGAATAAAGCAGTGGATCCAGTACCCACGCGTACTGTTACGATCGCAAGTAAGGGGACCGACGCATTTCCGGCTACTCGAATAGCGCCAACACAACGACAATTGACGAAGGTGGAATATCAGAAACAGAAGGAGAAAGGATTATGTTTCCGGTGTGACGAGAAATACTCCATCGGCTATAAATGCAAGAATCGAGAGTTGCGAGTCTACGTTGTACACAACGATGAGGAAGTAGACGATTCAGAGGAGAGCGAAACCGTGGAAGTCGTTGAGGACATCAGCAACGACAAAGGGAAGGCGGTGGAATTTGTGGCGTTTAACTCGATAGTCGGATTGACAACGCCTGGGACCATGAAATTGAAGGGTTCGATCCAAGGGAAAGAGGTAATCATTCTAATTGACTGTGGAGCAACGCATAATTTCGTTTCTATGCGCGTGGTTGAAGAACTGAGTATTCCCCGTACGGATACATCCAATTATGGCGTGATCATGGGAACGGGTATCGCGGTGAAGGGGAACGGAATCTGTAGGGATGTAGTCCTCGATTTGCCTAATCTGACTGTGCGTGAGGATTTCTTGCCTCTGGAACTAGGGAGTTTAGATGTAGTCCTAGGTATGCAGTGGTTGAGGCGGATAGGGAAGATGAAGGTGGATTGGCCTGCACTCAGCATGAGTTTCAAACAGGATGGAAAGAAAATACAGCTGCAGGGGGATCCGACATTGACGCAAATAGAAGTGTTCTTCAAACGATTATCACGATCGTGGGATCATCGTGACCAAGGATTTTTAGTGGAGCTTCGTGCCTTATTGACTGCCACTGAGGAGGGTATGGAAGGGAATGGAGTTAATCCGGAACCTTTGCCTGGCCGGGTGACTGATTTGAATGCGGGGTATAGGGCTGTTTTTCAGGTTCCAACAGAATTACTTCCAGAGCGAGCTATTGATCACTGAATTCAGCTGAAGGAAGGTGTTGAACCTGTGAATGTCAGGCCCTATCGGTACGTCCATATACAGAAAACAGAGATTGAACGACTGGTTACTGAGATGTTAGCGGCGGGGGTCATTCGTCCGAGTGTCAGTCCGTATTCCAGCCCGGTCATCTTGGTGAAGAAAAAAGATGGAAGCTGGTGCTTTTGTGTGGATTATAAGGCACTGAATAATGCCACTGTCCCGGATAAGTTTCCTATCCCTGTGATAGAGGAACTTCTCGATGAACTCCATGGGTTGACAGTGTATTCCAAGATAGATTTGAGGTCCGAATACCACCAAATTCGGGTTGCAGCAGAGGATGTCTCAAAAACGAATTTTAGGACTCATGAGGGCCACTATGAGTTTGTGGTGATGCCATTTGGCTTGACCAATGCTCCTTTGACGTTTCAAGCTTTAATGAATCAGGTTTTTAAACCATTCTTACGCAAATTTATATTGGTTTTCTTTTATGACATCCTGATTTATAGTCCGGACATGGACTCTCATGTATCTCATCTTGCGGTAGTATTTGAAATCCTTCGTGAGCATCAACTATATGCCAGTTTAAAGAAGTGTCAATTTGCTCAAAGGAAGATAGAATATTTGGGACATTGGGTATCTGCAGACGGCGTAGAGGCTGACTCAAACAAGGTACACGCAATGTTACAATGGCCACGACCTACGAATCTGAAGGAATTACGTGGTTTCTTGGGGTTGACAGGATATTATCGTCAGTTTGTCCAACATTATGGAACTTTGGCTGCCCCTCTTACTCAGTTGCTCAAGAAAGATGCATTTGTGTGGACTGAACTTGCAACAGAGGCCTTTGAGAGATTGAAGCAAGCTATGGTGACACTCGCAGTTCTCACTTTACCGGTTTTTAATATCCCTTTCATTGTTGAAACTGATGCTTCTGGCACGGGGTTAGAGGCTGTGCTATCCCAGAATCAAAAACCAATTGCTTTTTTCAGCCATACTCTGTCAACTAGAGCTCAATCGAAGTCAGTGTATGAATGAGAACTTATGGCTGTAGTGCTGGCAGTGCAGAGGTAGCATCCTTATTTGCTAGGACAACGGTTTATCGTTAGGACAGATCAACAAGCCCTGAAGTACTTGTTAGATCAACGGGTGGTCCAACCCGAATATCAGAAATGGGTATCTAAATTTTTGGGGTATGATTTCGAAATCCAATACCGTCCTGGTTTGGAGAACAAGGCTGCTGATGCCCTATCTCGGATGCCTTCCAATGGCCAATTTGCTGCGTTGACAGCACCGACGTTGTTGGATGTTGAAGTCATTAAACGAGAGGTGGCAACTGATCCTTATCTAGCTATGATTATTAAAGAGCTTGAGGGAGGGGAGTCGGAGGGATCCAAGTTCAGTTACTCTCACGGGATCCTGAAATATAAAAACCGGTTGGTGTTATCCAAACAATCTTCTCTAATTCCGGCTATACTCCAATTGTATCATGATTCAGTCGTGGGAGGTCATTCAGGGTTCCTTCGGATCTATAAACGGACAGCAGGCGAGCTATATTGGTAAGGGATGAAAGGGGTTATCAAGACATATGTGGCTCAATGTCCAGTATGTCAGCGTAACAAATCCTTGGCCACGACACCTGCGGGGTTGTTACAGCTGTTGCCCATACCTGAGCGGATATGGGAGGATATAGCTATAGACTTCATTGAGGGGCTACTGAAGTCCAATGGGTCGGATACCATTCTAGTAGTTGTGGACCGGTTGAGTAAATATAGCCACTTCATAGCTATGAGTCACCCTTTTACTGCTAAGACTACAACAACGGTTTTCATGAGGGAGATTGTTCGGTTGCATGGTTTTCCTCGAACCATTGTGTCTGACAGAGATAAGATTTTCGTGAGTCGGTTTTGGTCTGAATTGTTCCGGGCCCAGGGGACACAACTGCGGCAGAGTACGGCTTATCATCCTCAAACGGATGGACAGTCTGAACGGGTGAACAAATGCTTGGAGACATATCTTCGGTGCTTTTGTAATGAAATCCCTCGCCTATGGGGACAATGGCTTGCGTGGGCAGAATTTTGGTATAATACACATATCATGCTTCTTTGGGTACCACTCCGTTCCGTCTGGTTTATGGTCGTTCACCGCCACCATTGTTGAGCTATGATAATCAGAAGACTTCGAATGCGACATTAGATGAACAGTTGACAGAACGGGACATTATGATTGACCGTCTACGTGACCATTTGCGTATTGCTCAAGACCGTATGAAGAAATATGCTGACCTTAAGCGACGGGAGGTGGAGTTCGCCGAAGGTGACATGGTCTATCTCAAGATAAGGCCCTACCGCCAAATTACGTTAGCCAAAAGGCGGAATGAAAAGTTGACTCCAAAGTATTTCGGTCCTTATGAAATACTCCAGCGTGTTGGGAAAGTGGCTTGTAAGCTTTGGTTGCCTGACGACACCTCCATCCACCCTGTGTTTCATGTCTCACAACTCAAAAAAGCATTGGGACCAGCCACCCCGTCTCACTCTTTGGTTCCGTGGATCTCTGAGGAACTAGAATGGATAGTGCAACCTGCGAAGGTCGTTGCAACGCAAGTGAATTTGGATACGGGCAAGGAAGAAGCTTTGGTTAGCTGGGTGAATTTACCTGAAGAAGAAGCGACTTGGGAAGTGATAGATGACCTGAAGCTGCAGTTTCCAGACTTTTATGCGACTTTTTTTCCTAATACTCACCTTGGGGACAAGGTGAATGTTGGGAGTTAGTTTGTTTGGGATCCGTCTGTGGGTCCCAAGGGAGGGGTACATGTTTAGGGGTATAAAAGGGAGTGTTGCTTAGGGAGGAAGGCAGCCTATCATTTTGGTTAATTAGAGGAAGTCGATGTAGGAGGAGAGTTCCCAACCCTCTCAAATAGGTTGGTTGACTGTTAAACTTCTTTACCATTTTAATACCAAGCTACTTTAATAATCTTTTTCACGAGTGGGTTCGAAAGCAAGCACCCCTACAAAAATGCATATTATTTGGTTTTGAAAATTATAAAATTATTTAAAAAATAGCCTAAAGTATTGTCGGATGAAGCAAATAATTAATACTTCTAAAAATATTTCGTAAATCCGAGGATAGCAAAGTAGATAAGACATCTATTACCATCTCAAATGTCAATGGTTCGCCGTTGAACTAAAAAAAGAAAAGTCTAAAAACAAAAACCTACCAAACCACTTTTTAAGCATTCAATTCATTCATTGAGTAAAGATGAATAAATAATGTTCACTGCCTTGAATAGAAATCACATATGAGCTCCCTGACTCCAATGGCTGAATCCAAATAGGACTGGAAATCATCACTTTCCATAACTAAACTCTGCCGATGTAAAAAACCTTTACTCAGAAATTTGTACAAGACTATAAATTATTTTTGGAGAATAAGGAAAAGTAGATAGAAAAGAATTGTTGCCTTCAACTCTGTTCGTTCCAAAGTTGCAAGTGCACATAGCCCGCCATAGACTGCAATATCATGAGCACTCATCACTCCAAAAAAAATGGTATGCAAACTCTCTACTTATTCCCAAGAACTGCATAATCCCAATGCGAAGGTGGTTAAAAACTTTAAGAGATAGATAATTACTACTCACTTTCTAAAGTTTACAAACCCAACTCTCCAAAACTCACTTCTCCTTTTATCTCGTTCTTATCAACACGTCACTTAAACATAAATTTAGCTTATTGTCCACATTGGTAGAAAATGTGTCACATAAGAAGTCTATAAACATCATATTAGAATGAATTTAAAATCAAACTCAAACCATAATAGTATGTTTAATAGAGAGACAAAATCATTTTTACCCGTGTATTTGAGCTCTAAATGGTTAGTATAATTAATAACTTCTTAAAATTAAATTAAAAAATTGCATACGAACCAACTAGTAAATTACACAAAATCCAACAACAATGTTAAGATCATATCACCTCAAATCAACACCAACCTAGCCACAAAATCAAGCAAGCAAGAAAATCGTTCAAAGTCAAGAATACCAAATGCCCAAAATTCCATTGAAGAAGAATGTCACAACCAAAGACATCACAGCTAGTTAAAATTAAGAAAATGAAAAGCTAACTAATTCAATGTATCATTATTGGAGTTTAGACTTAAATTAAAAAGAAGAATAGTCAATAAATCAACCTTGCAGGTACAAACTACAGAGTGAATTTTTCTCAATCTATTATCATAGCATAAAAAATCAGGGGTAAGATCATTCAAAGTCCATGAAAGCAATGAGCAAGAAATCAGATATGGCAAACAGACGAACCTGAAGAGCAGCATCTCTAAAGCGTTGGGTCTTCAAGAAAGCCAATCCCCGCAGTGCAGCGCACTTGTGCAATACCGACATTGTCAAGAGACTTACATATTTCTAAAGCCTTTTCAGCGAGTGCTATGACCAGAGATAAGTGGCCCGTCTCAAGCGAGGTGTGAATGATATGCAAAAATGTCTCAGCGTTCGTGTTTGGGCTGGTGCAGAAAAATTGGGATCTCCAATAATATTCAAGAGCTTTTGGAAATTCGCCGTGGGTGAAATAGAAATCTCCAATGGTGATGTATGAATTTCTTACTCTCTTTGTAGAACGCGTATGAATCGGGTGATCTTCCTAATTAGGAACATTTCGATTTCGATTTCGATCAAGAACAGAAAATACTTCGATTAACTGATTCACAAATTCATACCTCCTATTTCTTCGCAAAATTCTCCTTCTCCTCCACAAATTGATTCACCGAACGGCACCAATCTTCATCGATCTCGTAATTAGGGCCCAATCTCCCTGAAATCATCTCAACAATCTTGGTGAACAGCTCCACTTCACGTCCCAATTTAACCTCGTCGTAGGCCAACCGAAGCGCCTCCAGTTGCATCGTCCGCCGCCGTTCATCGTCGCCGCCGCCGCAGCGATCGGCGACAGATAGGAGGTGGCTGACCTTGAATCGGTCATACTAGTTGTTTGAATACGATTCGACGTCGAAATGCTTGCCTCTCAATAACGGATTCCAAGGGTCTTCTTCATCGCCGACGGTACCGTTCACCCATGTCTCTGTTAGGTTTTTGGTTCCGCCGCCTGAGAAATTGCCCCCGCCGCCTTCCATTCCGCCGGAGAGGAGATAGGTTCCGCTGGAGTCTGGAAGTGGAAGGAGAGATTCTTGCAGTAACGGAGTGGAAGTAATTGTTGTGATTTGCGCCGAGAAGATGAACACGCGGGAAAAAAAAAGTGGAAATTGATCCAAATGACCCAGCTGGTTTTCTTTTTGCTCAAATAACCCGTCACTCCAAAATTGTTTTTTCTAATCTATGGATTATTTTAATTAATTTAAAAATAACTAAAATTACATTTGTGCCCCTGAACGCAAAAAAAAATTCCCCCCGCGCTTCCCGCCTCTTTCTCTTCTTCTCTTTTTTGTTTTTCATCCCCATTTTCCACATTTCTCATTTATTTTCTTGAACACTGAAAGCGTTTAACTCTTCTTCTATGTGAAAGTCGCTTTGGCATTCAATTTTGGAAGTACAAAAAACCCTTTATTTTGTTTCTATTTCTATCTCTATTTTTTTTTTATTGCTTTCTTTCAAATTTCTTGAGCTTTTGTTATAACAATGATTCAATGTTAGAAAAAATAGAAACTGGTGTGCTGGTCTACAAACTCAAAAGAGAATTTACTATTTTTTGGGATCAAAACATAAATAAATCTCGGATTTCAATCCATATTGCATAAATTTGGCCTCCTTGATTTTATTCTTTTTAATTTGGGGGTGTTTAAATTAAATTACCATAAATATTAAACTTGAATCTCACCCGGAATTGCATAAATATCACCAAAAATTAATAAATCTCGCTCTAGATTTATGCAAACTCGTCCAAGATTCAAGTAAAACTCGAGTGAATTTGAAGAAAACTTGTCCGAGATTAATGGAAAACTCGGGCAAGTTCGAAGAAAACTCGCCTGAGTTGTAAAATTTGCCCGAAATAATTGATTCACGGGCAAGTTTCTATTTCTTGTAATTCAGATTAAGTCAACTTTTTTAATATATTAATATTCTACATGCTACAAGTAACAAAGATGCTACATTGCTTGATAGCTTCTTAAATGTCCCATTATCTTTAAGGCGATGTGGGTTCGAATCTATTTTGTATCACCAAGACATAGATAAATTTATGCACAATATGACAGTTAGTATGTATTAATAAAAAAATTGTCTATTAACCAACAATTTCAACCGAATTTCACAAAACTCGAGCGAGTTGACTTCAATCTTCGAGATTTAGTCCACTTTTTCTACTTCAAACTTAAGTTTTTCCATCATATTAAGGGCAAACATGTCAGAAAAAATATTTTGGATTAAGAAAACAATTTTAGAGGGGTGGATTATTTGAGTAGAGTAAAAACTTTGCTGGATCATTTGAGTCAATTTCCTAAAAAAAAATCATTTTAATTATTATTATTTAAAAGCCGAATTAAAAAAAAAACTCCTTTTAACTTTGCCATTAAAAAATATATATACACACGTCACTTCTAAAGTTTCAATACATTTTGATTTTTGATAAATATTTTTAAAATAACTTTTGAAAAAAAAACATTTACTAATATTTTGAACTTTAAACTTGTTTGGAACAATTAATTAACACTAAATCTTTGAAGTCACTAGACGAAATTACATGAAGTCGCGTGGTGCGTGGTAGGTTTATTAGGGTTCAGGGTTTAAAGTTGTTATATTTTGTGGGTGTTTTTTTACTGAAAATTGAAGATTTTTGGACTATATTATGAGCTTATGTGGGCTGAAAGTTAAGGGTTATTGGACTATATAAGTGTATGTTTTTTTTTCCCTGAAATTTAGGTATTATTGATAGCTTATGTTATGGTTAAAATTTGAGGATCCTTTTGCTGAAATTTAGAGTTTTTTGTACTATTATGAGTTTATGTTCGTGGAACATTGTGCCTATCAAAGTTTATGATTTTGAAATTTGTGGATATTTTAGATCTGGTAGTTTTAATTGATTGGAATCTACACTAATTATTTATACTTTAATATTATTTTATTTAAATAGGGAAATTTGAATATATGACCCATCCCATAATTGATTTTGGATTTATGACTCTTTTTTTTTTTTAAAACCTAACTTGTGACTCCTGACTTCTTCAAATTTTTATCTTTGGAAAAAGACTAATTTACCTTCCCGGGTTAATAAATATACATTTATGATACATTAAATTTTCACGTACCTGTCCACCAAATTCTAAATTCATATTTCATATGGTTTGAACTCTAAAACAAACAAATTCTTATTTTTTAAATCCTCTCAAACAAATATTGTTGTTCACGTGTTTGATCATATTATCTGGTATGTTACAAATTCAAAATTTTTACTTCAAATTTGTTGAAATTATTTGAAATATTTCTCCATCAATATATTTTGCTGGAATGAAGTTCTTGTAAAAAAAACGTGGTTCACATCGTTGTCTCGGATCAATACTCAATTCGGGATTGAACTATTGCACTGAGATTGAATAATTTTATCCTGCATTCAATCTTGGTGCAATTTGGTTCGGGACATGATCTGAGACACATCCCGGACTGATCTCGAACCAAGATTGGTCCGAGACACTTCCCGGACTAATCTCGAACCAAGATTGGTCCGAGACAGTCCGGGATGAAGCAAAATTTTTATTTTATTTTGTTTTTTTTTGTTAACTCTTTTCTTATCTCACGTAGTTTTATTCGATTTGTTGGATTGAGTCCGTGATTGAGTCTAGGATTGAATACGGGATTGAATCTAGGATTGAGTCCGGGATTGAATCCGGGATCGAATCTGGAAAACGATTATTCTATTTTCGATATCTGGAGCCCTACAATCTACCGTAAAACAAATTGGCTGCTTCAGATAGCGCTGAAAATTGAAACCTAACACTAAGTAACGAAAATTTTTGAAGATTCGAGCCAATAACTTCGCTTCCTCCGAGATCCAAGACAACGATGATGTTGGTTGGTGATGGTGGATGCAAAACGTTGGAACAGATTAAATAGAATGTTCACTGTGGATGGATGAGACGAAGAGTCCGAGAATAGGGAGGGAATGGAGGGAGACAAATGGTTCGAGTATATAGGTTTAAGGTTTTACTTTTGGGAATGTAGGGAGAGGAAGAGTCCGAGAATGAGGATGGGAAGATGTGGAATTTGAAATATGAGGGTAATAGAGTAATTTGACTTCTACAGATTTTGAAAGTGGTCATAAATAAGGGTGGCTGTGTTCACAAATTAAGTTTTTTCAAAAGGGGGTCATAACTCCAATTTCAATTATGGGTGGGGTCATATATTCAAATTTCCCGATTAAATACACATTTCATTAGTAAAATAAAATTTTAATTAAAAATAAATAGAGTTTCATAGTAAAGGAAAACAAAATTGTTAAATCCACTTTTTCTAAAATTTATAAACAAACTAGAAAATAAACTCTATTGAGAACCCTGACAGAGAATGAAAAGTTTTTGTATTGCTCTTTTTTTGCCACTCGTAAGTTTTAATTAAAATATTGAGATATTTAAATCAAAGCAAAAAAAAAATTTAGAATAATAAAAAAATAATATGATAATTTAAGACAAAATATAGTAATCGTTTCAACGGGTGTTCTTGTAGGGTGCTAATACTTTATCAATCACACTTCGTAGAATGGCCGGTAACTTCGATTCACGTCACGATGTCTGTCAATCACTGCATCCAACTACATGGTATTTGTTTCTCTCCTTTTTAATTTGTCCCCTTATCTTCTCTCATTCTCTATTATCTAGCCACTTAGCTCAATCGTTCTATTCATATTTTAGATCTTATTGTCGATTGTGTTGTAGTTTATGTTCTTGTGAATTTTTTACTTAAAATGAAAAAAATTTTGCAACCTTGTGACCCAACCCAACCAGCTCGAGAAATATAGGGTTGGGTTGGGCTGGACCTCTAGCTTCGATTCCGTTGAGTACATGAGCTATTTGGGTTGGTCCATAAAACCCGCTTAACCCTACCCAACCCAATCTGTGAACAGCTACATTTTGCTCAAGCTTCTAAATTATTCTAATAACTAAAGTTGAACACATTTATCTTTAATAATGGAGATTGAATTTAAAATTTTTAAATTATAGTGGCTTAATTAAAATTATATGAAATAAATATTAAAAAAATCTTGCACAATAAAACTTAGTTGAATTACCGATTAGCAAGGTCAATTTTTCGTTATTCAATTAACTGTCAAATTTGGTTAACTTTGCCCAAAAGCCATTTTGAACTATTTTTTAAAAGTTTTTTGGAATTTAGAGTGTATTTTACCAAAAACTTATAACATATCACAACACTTTTCCACCTAAAAAAAATATTAATACATCCACCACAAATATTAAAAAAAAGAGCTCTGAATCTCGAACTCAAGATATTTTGAGAGGCTTAGGCATTGAAAAAATGACATGACCACCGGACCATTAGCCAATTTCTTTATAAACTTCGAAATTTTTTTATCAGGAATGTTCAAATAAACCCAATCCAACCCATTTTGTTTGGGTTAGGTTTAAAATTAATTTGATTTAGTTTGAGTCTATTTTTGTTTAACCCGACTTACTCCGTTCAGTTAGGTTCAGAAGACAAATTTTCGGATTGAATCGAACCAACCCAATTTTCTGTACATAAACCATAAAATACTATTTTTTATTCCTTTTTCTTATCTCAGTTTTTTTTTTTCCAGTAATATAACTTAAACATACAAATTTGCCCTTTTACTCTTCCTCTTCTCTCTCTCAGCACACAGATTCCATCGTACTATTCTCAGAGCTAGTCGTGCTCTCTGTCTAATATTTCAATAATTTTTTTCTTTCACACTCCATATTCTTAATAGAATTGGAATCTAAAATTGGTATTTTTTTCTTTCTCATTTTAATTATGTGGTATTTTACTTTTGAGTTTGCATATGTTGTATTTATTTGCAATTTTGCTCTACTGAAATTTTTTTACAACGAGACCATCCATATTCCAACAATGGGCAAGACTCGCTCGATGTTTTGATCCTTCTTCTCATTCTCGCCGTCCCGACGTGTTTTATACATCCCTTTCCTCTAGCTATGTATTGTGAGATTTTATTTTTTATTTAATGAGAAAGATATAAAAAATGACTATACATATTATGTCGTTAAGTTCTCATTTATCCTTGGAAGATAGCTTTTGCTCGTAAACTTTTTTTGTGTTAGAGTAATAGCAAATATCTCCATAGGTCAAAGCCTATCTCAAAGAACCGATGGAACAAACCAACCAAACTCAATCCAACCAATTTTTTGGGTTGGGTTTGTGATTTAGCAAGGGTTAGTTTGGGTCACAAGAATCTACTACTCGAAGGATAAGGTTGGGCTCAAAATAGCCCTAAACCCAACCCAACCCACAAACACCATAATTTAATATATCTATATCTATACTATATTAAAAAGTAGGAGGTAGGAAAAACATTTTTGGACATTTTTGCCCTTTACTAAATTTACAAATTACAAATTATACCATTAATATATTATTACAAATATTAAATTAATTATTAATTCTTAATTATCCATACTATAAATGCATGGAATATAAAAGGTTAGAATGCAAAAAGTTTTCCAACAACATAAAACTAATTTTTTCTTTAATTAAAATTCATACTTGAATTTCAAGAGTTTTAGAATTTGAAAAGCTTTTGTAACATTTTATCCTCTACTACTCTAAAAATAGGTTTCTTCTACATGTTTTTCACAAGTTTTAATACTTTTTTATTCTTAGTTCTTTCAAACATCTCTCAAAGATGATTCAATCATGAAAACATCTCAAGATATTTGTGACATATTCATCAAGTTGCAACGGAGGCATATGTTGAATCTACATATCTCGAATACTAGGCTTGTGACATTACCATTCCACAATTTTACAAAGTTGAATAATAGTATATGTCAAGCAATCTTCCAGAATGAGCATATTTACTCTAAAAGATGAGTGTGTAGTAAGTATTTGGATTTTTTTTTGTTACTATTGTTATTTTTCTATTTAGTGTGTTTTTTATTTGGAATGTTTCTTTTTTTTAGCAATTTTATTTAGTTTAGGATTTGGATTTTTCTTTTTGTTACTAATGTTTTTTTATTGTTTAGTGTACTTTTTTTTATTTGGAATGTTTCTTTTTTGAACAATTTTATTTAGAATATTTGTTTAAAATATAGATAATTACAAGCTCAAGCTCATGTTCTTATTGTTGAAAAAAAAAACAATCAATACATAAAAAAAATGTTTGATTAATAAATTAATTATAAACAATAATTTGTATAGAATCTGAAAAGGTGGAATATAAAACTTTTGGTCATTTTATTTTCTAATAATATAATTTGAAGAATTTTTCTTTAATAATTTTAATTATAATATAAAATTAAATCAATAAAATAATTTATATTTAGTTAAAAAATTCAACATATATAACGCTCTAAATAAATATTTAATAAACAAACAAAATATTAAAAAAATAAAATAAAGGACCCATATTAGGTTGAAATAATTTTAAAATAAAAATATTGAAATATCTATTTACTTTTTTATTAATATATAATTTTTTCCTTTACTTTTAATTTATTTATTTACAAAATATATCATTAACAATTAATTATAAATAGTATATTTAAAGAATAATTATAAATAGTACATTTTATTATTAGTAATTAGCTGTCAATAATAATAAATATATATAAAAATTAATCTGAATTATTTTTAAAAATAATTATACTTAAAATATTTTACGTGAAATTATATAAAATTTAAGTTACCTTATAATTAAAAAAAAATTTACGTGCATTGCACGTGGTAATATACTAGTCCATTGGAAATGCTGATAAAATTTTAATAGAATGTCCTAAGAAGCCAAGACGTACCAAAAATGTTATTTCACGTATATGTATGTTACCATGATGTGGTTCACCCTCTAACCATTAGATGTATCGTCAAATTAAAATTTTAAGTTTCTCTCTGATACATTTGAGAGTATAAAATTTCTGACCCCATTATTCTAATATCCATCATCATGGTCACGAGTGTAGCATGCTATATGCCATACCATGGACCTAACATCACGTTCAACTTCACTCAAGCTTCTCAAAACTCTGAAAAGGTTGTATTTTGTACATATAGAACTTTACCGATTGAGTCAATTTTGGCCTAATTAGGTTAATGAAGATCGATAAATAAATGACAAAATTTTAAAGATTTATGTTAAGCTTCAAAACCCAACACCTAATTTTGATTGATGTTTATGAGATATTTCAAGACCTTCAATGCTTGTATTAGAAGCATCTGCCATGGTCTGCAAATAGACTAGAACCAATGGCAAAATATGAAGTACAAGAGATTTGTTTCTGATTTGATCAAACAGTTTCTCAAATTGATGGTGCATATGGAGTAGTCATTATTTGAAATTATCATGATGCTTCAAACATGAAGAAAAATTGCTGCCCAAAAAGCAAAATGATCTAATAATTATTTTCATGAGTTTAAAATAATGTATATATGCATATGAACTTTAAAATGTTTAACATGCAAATTTAGATATATAGATTAATTAGTGGCTTGTTATGTCAATATAATTGTTAATGAGTTCACAACAGGATTTCTTTAAATATAAAACTTTTTTGTGGAGGTTAGATAGGTAGGGATATTGACTGATTTGATCCAAAATGTTTACGTTTTTCTCCCATGACCTACCGATTCAAATTGTTTTTTCTAACCAAAATCAATTTTTTCTGATATGTCAGCGAAGGTGAAAGTACAAAATTGTCCTTAACTTGATAAAAAAAATTGAGATATGAACCAAGAAAATAGCGCAAAAAAACTCCGGTGAATTCAAAGATAACTTGTCCGAGTTTTATGAAATTTGCTTAAAACTATTAGTTCAGAGACGAGTTTTTATAACTTTGGGAGTTCTCGAATTTACACTTTGCACTATATATTTTAATTGCTAATTTATTCAGTAAACTAGTAATAGGTTTGGTCGTTCATGTATACTTGTGTTTTTCTCTCACACAGCAAGTTTTAAACACAGCCACAGAGCTTAAACGGTTACGCTTGAAGCCAACGAGCAAAGGAAAGCTTTTGGAAGAAGGAAACGAATAAAAAATATATATTAAACTTCAATCTCGGCCTGAAAACATCTCTACTCGTGGAAACTCGCCCGTACCTCTCGTTTCGGACGAATTTCATAATTCAGGCAAGTTATCTCCAAACTCGATCGAGTTTTGGTCTCAAATTTTAGCTGCTACTTTATTTTTATGACAAAATTGGCATAGGTTTTCATAAAAAAAAAAAAAAAATTCTTCATCTCCTTTGCAAATTGAAATCATTTATCTTCATTTTTTTTTCAAAAATTAACATTAAGAACTAAAGTTGTGACATTCATTTTCAAATCTTCAAATTTTGAAAACTTAGGTCATTTCAGTAAATGAAAACTTTATTAGGTTATTTGTGTTAATTTCTCATTTGAATTCAAAACTTCAAAAAAACCATCCCAGAAATTTGCAGCGGGAGAGATGCAGTCGTCTGCACAATCCAAGGCAGCTGCCCGCCGTCAGGCTTTCGAACGTCTACGAGCCATCCGCAGATGCGGTCGTCGATCAGAAGCCGGTGGTTTCCAACTTAAGCTAGAGAATCCTATATATGATACGATTCCTGAGGATGAATATTATGATCTCGTTGCAAAACGTCGCGAGGAAGCCCGAGGGTTTATTGTTGACGACGGCGACGGTCTTGGGTATGGAGACGAAGGCGAGGAAGAGGAATGGTCCGAACTTTTGGTCCATTCCTCCGACAGTGAACTTGAGAAACCTAAAAAGAGGAAAGTAGAGAAGAAGGAAGCGCAATCGAAGAAGCCCTCCTCTGGGAATCAAAAGCTTTCTTCGATGTTCTCCAGGAAAACGAGTGGAGACGTTAAGCCCAAAGGGTCGGCTTGTGACAGCATCGTAGATGATATAATTGCCGAATTTGCGCCAGTTGAGACTGACAGAGAGAGGCGTAGAAAGGGGCGAATCGGAGCTATGCCGATTTCGAGGACTTCTGTGCCTATTCCTGCTGGGAAGTGTGAGGGATTAACTGCCCCGAGTCTTAATTACTGAGAATGGGAACTTTGGAATGACCAGGGTTATTACAGATAGTGATGTTGGGCCCGTGCGAGCTGGTATAGAGGACCAGGGGAATGGTGGAAGTATGGAAATTGGGGAAAAGGAGGATTTAAATTTTCAGACCAGTTTGGATCCGATTGTGCAATCACATAGTTCTTGGATCAAGGAAGATGTAGTTGAAGATAATATGCCTATTATGGTTGAAACAAAGATGGAACCATTATTGAAGAATGAGCCGGTGTGTACTCTGAATGCTAGGATTAATGAAGAAAAATATCCAGCTTTGAGTGCTACTGCTGAGTGGGAAGCAGTGAGGAGCGGAGGGAGCAGAAACGTTGATTCTGCTGCAGCAATTTCTGAAGAGAAATTTGATTTTGATACTGACGCGGACGGCTCTCTGCATTTCTATGTAATTGATGCGCACGAGGAGCTCTTCGGTGCAAATATGGGCACTGTATATCTATTTGGCAAGGTATTACTAATTTATTCCCCCATCAATTGTGCTATAGTTAATTCAACACTTGCATTTCACACAATTTCATGTTGTATGGATCGATGAAAATTAACTGATCATTTTCTTTTTTAAAAAATGCTCTTGTTCTATTTTTCTAGGCTAGTACAACTGCTTAGCAAAGTTTGATCCTTTGGTGTATGCTAAACTTGTTTATACTCTCTGTATTATAATATCCCGATATGAAGGGAAGGTGGCGGAACTTCAATACTTTTAGATTGTCATTCTTAACTATTAAATTGTTACATTTTTGAACATCAAGAACTGAAAACGCCCCTGGTATCCCACATTTGGAAGTATGAGGTCCAAGGAAAGTTAAGGCCTTCTTATGGTCTCTACCACACAAAGCTTGAATACTGATAATAGATTACGAAGGAAGTGTCATAATTGGTCCTTGTCTCTGTCTGCTTGTTTGTTCTGTTTTAGAGAAGAAGTCTTTAGACCACATTTTCATTCACTGTCAGTTTTCTGGTAAGGGCTGACTTTTTTTGTTGCAAATTTTTGGGTTATCTGGTTGTTTGCCTTGGTGCATAGATGATTGGTTGGCTGATGTTTTGCAAGGGTGGCATCTAAGAGGCAAGGCTAATGTTTTAGGAATTTAGTGGCTAGAGTTTCTTTTTTGGAATCTCTAGATTGACAGTTTTTGAAGATAGCTCCTCTTTTTACTTCTTTTTAATAGTGTACAACTCAGTTCTGCTTGATGGTGCCGCAGACAGGAAATAATTACAGTCTCTCTATTGTTATTCGAGATTGGAGGATAACTATTCTTATGTAATGTAGGGAGGGTCCCCTCATCCCCTTCCCTTAGACTGTTTTGTTCCTTTTTTCTCTCTCTCTAAAGGTTTATTATCAAAAGAAAAAGAAAAATGTTGTGAAATACTATTAAAAAAGTTAACTAAAAATAATCCCAAAAAAGTAGGGGATTCGAATTATTAAAAAAAAAATTATTTTAAAAATAAATGATAAAAAATGGGTAATGATGGTTGTAATTACACCCCTCACCTTTCAATGGTAGAAATTAAACCATTAAACTTTTACGAGTGGAAAAATTTTACCCATAAACTTTCAATGGTAAAATCTAAACACTCAAACTTACTTTTGATAATGAAAAAGTTACCCACCTAAATTTTCAATTTTAAACATTGTATACCACTTCATGTTCTCCCTCTCTATATACCTCTGTACACCGGACACCGGAGAGAAGAAACCCAGATGCAAATTCCTGGTCTTGATCCCGAGTTCCACCAGAGATTTGGTTGCCTGGAGAAATGAACGGTGGCAGTAACTGAAATCCCAATAGAACTGGTTGGGTCTCGGTTTTTGTGGGCGTCGAATCCACAATTCCGAGTCCGATCCCGTTCGAATCCCATGGCCATTTGGACTCTGTTACTTGTGTTCTGGGTGAATTCGATTGCGCCGAAAATGAAATTCTCAAACCCAAAGACGGTTCGAGATCACCACCACAGTCTCTGTCCCCTTTGAAGAAAAATTTAGTAAACAATCTGGGAGAACCAAAGGAAGACGAATCCAATTTCCTATTATTGTTTGTCGGAGAAAGCAAACCACCACCGCCCACCTGCCATAGTTTCTCGCTTGCTATACTTCTAGATCTAAGTCCTCAGTATCAATTAGTAGCCGCCTAAAAGAACAAGAAGAAATCAGAAAATAAATTAATTCTACTACCATTATATTGTTAAATGAACTTGAGGGTTGGGACTCACCGAAAAAAGACTACTGGTGTGATCGGTAACCGCCGATGTACAGAGGTAGAGAGAGGGAGAACCATGAAAGAAAAATTACTATGAGAAACGCGGGTGTAATTTAACGATCAAAGGTTTAATTTTTTCCCTAGAAAGATTATGGGTATGAAAGATTATGGGTATAATTTCCACCGGGTATTTTCTCACCTGTGAAAGTTTAAAGATTTAAATTTTACAATTGAAAGTTTAAGGATGTAATTACAATCTCTTAAGAGTGATTTGTGCCATTTATCCTAAAAAATTGTCTAATGCCAAAGATTAGTCCCAATTGGTACATATCCCCGAATTGGTGGTGTATGTGCAAATTGAATGCAGCATCTCTTCTTTACCTGTCCTTATAGTGCTAGTAGCTGGGAGAAGCTTATCAACATTTTCAATCTTAGTTGGGTCTTTCCTAAGAGTGCGAGTGAAGTTTTAAGACATCTCATTTGGGGGGATTTAGTTCAACGGTCAAGCTCTCATCCTATGGTCAAATGCGGTGGTGGGAGATAGCATGAGAGGAATCAACGGGTTTTCCATGATAAAGAAATGAACTTGCATACGTTTTTGGGACCTTGTCGATATTTTTGTCTCTTTGTGGACCTTGTTATCTAAGCTTTTTTGTAATTATGGTGTGACACAAATCTTCGTCAATTGAAAGGTCTTTTTTGTAACTTCCGTTGGCTGGTGGGGATATCTCATCTCCCACTCTTTTTGTGATTCTGATAATGAGAGTTTTGTTTTTTGTTAAAAAAAAAGAAATATATATAATATATAGGAACACAGCTGTAGTTATGGGAAAATAAAAACTACCATGTGGCAGTTTGATGCTTTAATGTTTCTTGAAAATGAGGTCGCTTTATTACTTCTAGAAAATATGAAGGTTTTGTCTTCAAAATTTTTCTTCCCCGACTTTTCTTTTTCTCTTCCTTCGACTACTCTTCTTCTTCCTCCTACTTTTCTTATTCTCAGACGATTCTTCATCTTCTTCATGTTCTGACTTTTTTTCTTTCTTCTTCCTTGCCTCGTACTTTTCTCCTCCTATATTATTCTTCTGAATCTTCCTTCTTCTTTTATTTCTTTTCTTAGGTAAAATAAAATTGAAATTTATTAAATAAAAACCCCATTAATCTCACCTTCAACATGGCGCTCGCGTCGCATTTGGGCGATAGCACACCATGGCGAGCAAATGTGCACCATGGCAAGTGCCATGTTGAAGGTGCTCACGATGGATGACTTCAAGGTGCTAAGGCCAGATATCACCTCGCCTCTTGCCATAGGTGAGTGCCTGGGCACGCCTCGAAATCATTTCACCTAACAAATTACTACATCAGTTCCCCCCTCATAAGGAAACAACTCGTCCTCCAATTTAAACACTATGTTCATCACGAGGATAATACCTTTTTTTAACAAAGATACAACTTCTCATTGAGATAATACAAATGTTTAAAGATAAGTGTGACAAAAGTGTGACAAAAGAGTGAAAAAGACTCTTGAAAGTGTGACAAAAGAGTGAAAAAACATTGAAGGTGCTGGAAATGCCTTCTGAAAGCTCTATCTTATAAGCATCACAGCCGATACGTTTAAGGATCCTACAAGGGCCACTTTTCTTCTTTTGTTACTTCCTGTACGTTCCTTATGGAAATCTCTCATTCCAAAAGATGCACAAGAACCAAATCTCCCTCAGCACACTCTTTGTATCTTCTTTCTTGGTAGGAAGTTGGGAATACTTGGCATTGGATTCCTCGAGATGTTCCTTGACTTTTTTATGAATTTTTTTACCTGATCAGCCTTTAACTCAGCTTCCAAGCTTAAATCTACAGCACAACACTTGACAAACTTATTAAATCAATAGTTAAACAACGAGGGTTAGTATGTACTACCTCAAAAGTACTTTTATCGGTGGATCGATTCTTCATGTGGTTAAAAGCAAATTTTACTTGTGGTAAACAAAGATCTCATTTCTTTGGCTTATCCCCACTTAAACATATAATTAAGTTGACCAACGTTCTATTCATAACCTCAGTTTGACCATCCGTTTGTAGGTGGCAAGTTGTACTATACTTTAATTGAGTATCGAACTTCTGCCAAAGACATTTCCTAAAATTGCTTAAGAACTTTGTATCCGAACTTTCTCCTTTCCTTTATCTAATTTTGCTTTAAGCTTTCTATTCTCCCTCAATAATTCTCTTTAAGTCTCTTTTTATATCTTCGACAACTTCTTCAATCCTTGCCATTCGATTGGTTAAGTCATCCAAGGAAAGGATGCAGTGTTGAATATTGAACATAGTCACATGAAGCTCGTTGGAATAGGTTTCTCCCTTACCCACTTCCGAATTCTTGGTGTTGGTCATCTTTCTTGGCCAGAATTTTACCAAGCTATGATACCAAATATTGGGGGAATAGCATTAGGCTGGTTTATTTTATTAATGATAAAAAATGTATAAAAAAGGGAAGCCTAGCCTTTATATATAAACTTAACTTATGAGCCAATGATCTTTAATTTTATTCTTACTTTTTTGATACATGTGATTGTTTGAGCCTAGCTTGCATGCACATTGACTAATCTCACGAGGCAATCACCTGACCCTACTATATTTGGTTGCCAAAGGTAACTCTAGGATATTAAATTCTTAGTAGGTGGTTATCATGGTCTGAACTCATTCCCTTATAGCCCTTTAATATTTAAATGGACCCTTATTTACCACTAGATCAAACTATGATGGTTAGGCTAATGAGCTTTAATTTTTTATTTTTTCTAACGAGAAGAGAACTTTTCATTGATAAATGAAAAGGAACAAAAATTGTTCAAAGATACAGATCTCCAAAGAGGTGAAATGAAGGAGGAGGAAGAAGAATAAAAATAAAGATAAAATAAAGATACAGCCAAGACAAACTTAGTATAGATTATGCAAGGAAATCTAAACATTACACAAAAAAGCCTCCCAATTAGAACAAATTGTGCTAGGGGAGTAGTTTGCAAGCTTTGAACTTAGCTATATTGAAGCATTCGAAAGTTGAGCGACTTTTCCCTTCGGAAGCCTTTTGATTACGCTCAAACCGTAACTCGGAAATAAGCACTTTAAGACTGTTTACCCAAAGAAGACTTGCTTTAGGCGATAAGGAAGGGCCAAATAGCAGCTCAAAAGTTGACGGAGATATTGAATTGTCCTTTACCCAAGCAAAATTGAACATGTAAAAGAAGAGATCCCAACAAACTGATGCATAAGGACAGAAGAAGAATAAATACACCTGGTCTTCGCAATTGGCAGCACACAAAACACACATAGAAGGATGGAGGAGCATGTTAGACGGCTTCTTTTGGAGAGTTTCTGTGGTATTTACTTTCCCATTAAGGAGAATCCATGATAGAACATTCACCATTTTTAGACTGCACAAATTCCACAATCTTGAAACAAAATCCTTTGTCGAGATGAAGAACCAGCTCTAGGTTTGCAAAGGGAGTTAACTGAGAAGGATTCTGAAGAGTTTAAATTCCATTTCAACTCATCCACATCATCACAAAGCTGAATCGAACTTAAACATGACAACAAAGTTAAATAATCTTCTAGTTCTTCATCCTTCAGTATTCTTCTAACTTCAATTCTCCAAGAGGAAGAATGTGAGTCTGAAGCATCATGGACTGATATAAAAGGAAGAGAAGAGATCCGAAATAAAGTTGGAAATCTATCATTTAAGATAGAATCGAACTTAAACATGATAGCAAAGTTAAATAATCTTCTAGTTCTTCATCCTTCAACATTCTTCTAACTTCAATTCTCCAAGAGGAAGAATGTGAGTCCAAAGCATCATAGATTGATAAGAAGGAAGAGAAGAGATTCGAAATAAAGTTGGAAATCTATCATTTAAGATAGAATCCCCCAACCATAATGGTGCCAAGGACTTGTTTGCCATTCTTAACTCTGAAAAAAGTGAAATTTGCCACCAACGACCACTGTTTCAAAACCATGGGCTACAACGACTACCAATTTGTTTCCTAGAAACATTCCAATTAAAACCGTCAATACCATAAATGCTTGCCACTACTTGCCACCAAAGAGTGAAGTTTCTGTACTAAACTGCGAGCCCCACTTAGCTAGTAAAGCATGGTTTCTATGTAACAATCTCCCAAGACCCAAACGACCTTCTTCCTTGCAACGAGTGGCAATGTCCCACCTAACCAAGTGCTTTAGAGAACTCTTCTGACTCTCCCCAAAAAAATGTTCTCAAACTTTGCTCAATTTGTTTGCTAATAATAACTGGCATTTGGAATATTGATAAGAAGTACAACGGAATGCCAATGAGCTTTAATTACAATAATGGTTAACTAAAGTTAACCACAATAATTAACTAATGACCTAACTAATAACCTAACTAATCTAAAAAATAAAATACTGAAGGTAAATTACAAAGATAATCCTAACATTTAAACAACTAACAAATTACTACATCACTTTTTTCCACCCTCTATTCCAGCTTCCCGTTTTTGAACATCACTGAGATAGGCTTTTCCCCGAACCATTGACTGACCCCTTGATGCGAGAGAGGCATGAGTGCAGTTCGATCTTGTGGTGTATTCGCGCCACCTCCCCCAGATCAGGAGTACAAATTAGCTAAAGTAATCCAGATTAAAAGTGTTCTTTTTGTTTTTGGTTGACTTTGGTCACATATCTTATTGTAATTAGGTAAAAGCTGGAGATCCGTACCATAGTTGTTGTGTGGTGGTAAAGAACATGCAAAGATGCATATATGCTATTCCAAGTGCCTCCTTTCTTCATTCGGATGAGATGTTGAAGCTTCAGAGTGACGCGGAGCAATCTCAGCTTTCTCCCGCAGATATCCGTACAAAGTTGCATGTAAGTTTATCCACTCTTGTAACTGAGTGTGATATGCTTGTCATTCTTTGTTTTCTCTTAAAACATCATTTATCTTGCATGCTTCTATTAAGTATTTTCGTTTACTTTCTACTTTTAGGAAGTGACTGCAGGACTAAAAAACGAAATAGCCAAGCGGTTACTAGATCTCAATGTTTCAACATTTAGCATGACTCCGGTTAAGGTTTGCAAATTACCTTTTTTGTTTATTTTGTATTTGTTTTAATGCAATTGTACCATGTCAAAACATACCTACGGAAACTATTAGTTTTAATTCAGTTGTACACTTTTTAAATTATCATCACAGAAGAAATATGCATCTGAGCGTCATGACATACCTGCGGGGGAAAATTACGTGATTAAGATCAATTACCCATTCAAGGTATAATACTTGACACACGTATGATATTTGCAATTTGAATTAAGATTTTAACTTATAACTTTTAGTACAATGGAATCTTAAACACCAAAAATTTATGATTTTAGGAGGTCAAAGTTCTTAAAGTTGCCTTCCAAAGGCAAAAATCTCCTAGTTCTTGATGTTTAGTTTCTTACAAAAAAATCTTTATTTATATATTTATTATTACCTCCATTTGGAAATTATTGACTATGGTTGGTTAAACATGTGATAGCACCCCCCACTACCTGGTGATCTAAAAGGAGAATCAATCTGTGCCCTCTTAGGAATGCATCGCAGGTATAAATATCTTGGAATGCTCCTTTCGCCTTTCCCGGCATATCACACATCTTTCTTTACATTCTCCTTTTGGATATTTGGCCCAAAATTCAAATATAAAAAATATCAAGGCATTTAAACTGTATGCAAGATGAAAAAAATGCCAAAAAGGAAGATATTTTTGCTTATACATCTTCCCAATCAATGACTCTGGTCAATGATAGATCTCTTTCCATGCTTTCTTAATATTTAGATCTTTACACCTCTTTGACTTCAATGATGGGCTCTAACTTGTTTTTAATAAATAGAATAAAAACTGCCAACAGGAATATCAGCGGTAATTGGCATCTACTCCTCCCCTTGAGGTCGGAGGTTCAAACCCCCATACCCCCAATTTGTTGGACGAAAAAATAAATAGAATGAAAACTTGGAACTGCCAATGCAAAAAGCTAGAGCACTTTGTGTTTTTTGTTTTGGGAATTTTCCCGTTCTTATCCAAACATTTTTGGACATCATTGCATGACATATTCTAAAAGTTATTTTGAAGTTCTTTGGAAGAAGCGTAGGAGTAGGAGTTTAATAAATAAAGATATGAGGTTATTATCCTAATTTATTCCGTTATGTTGCAGTGTTTTTTTAGGTAATATATGTTTTCTATCAATTATATGACCATGTGCATTCCGATTACTTTTTTATTTTTTAATGGAGTGATGATTTAACATGTTAATACTTACAGTGCCTTAGAGCTTTTCCTCATTAAAAGGAAAATAATGGGCCCCTCCTGGCTATCAATTTCAGAATTTTCTTCATGTCCTGGTTCTCGACAAGTAAGATTGCTTAATCCTATAATAGTTTATTTGGTTCATAGAGTGATTTTATTTTCACTGTTATAAATGCTAATACTATGGTCATACTCTTACGAAGGTGAGCTGGTGCAAGTTTGAGGTGACAGTTGACTGTCCAAAAGATGTTCATGTTTCAACTACGTCAAAAACAACTTTGGAAATTCCTCCTGTGATTGTCAGTGCAATAAATGTAAAGACCATCATTAATGAAAAGTTGAATGTGAATGAAATTGTGTCTGCATCTGTTATATGTTGTCAAAGAGCAAAGGTTAGTTGTGAATTTTGTTCGTGTTATTGATTTCTTTTTGCATGTTTCTTTTCTTTTATTTTGATGTGACGATCCGTTTTTGTTTTATTTAAAAACGTGAGTTGGATTTATCAATCACCTTACAAGGATGTTGACCACTGATGGCTAGTTTGCTTGATACTAGTTATAATAACTATGTCTTAGAGGGTAAGGACTATGGCATGAATTTGATACATAGATGCACACAATTGAGTTTTGTAGGTGAAGTCAATTTAAGAATGAACGAGATGAGGTTTCTTTGTATGGTGGATGGATAAGAATCAAGAATCTGCCTCTTGAGAGATGGGATGATGACACTCTGAGCTTAATTGGAAATCAGTGCGGGTGTTACATTGAAACAGCAAAAAAGACCCTCTCACGGCTTGACCTTTTGGAGGCAACTATTTGATTTTGTGTTGAGAAAACTCTTGGGGTTTTATCCCAACAACTATTTCTCTTAGCTTAGATGATAAGGAAGCGATTAAAATTCATATCGACCCTTTCTTCGCCAGCGAATGCTACATTGGTTACTCGGCCTGAATTTATGGAGCTCTACTGTTGGCTAGCCTAGCTCATTGCCCAGAGAAGGAAGGAGAAACCTTCTCTGTCCGTACCCTCGAGACATCCCTCCTGACAACACCAACTGCCGTGTATCAGTGAATGATAAACCTCCAGCAGGCCTATTGTATACACGAGCGTTGACATGAGCTGGCTGAATTGGAGAAAGAGCCTTAAGCTCAGAAGGGAAAGACCCTATTGAGGGGAGTCACGTGGAAGAACCAAGCCCTATATGTTTAACCCTTCTATGTCTCCAACTTTAACCTCACTACAATCGATTTCTGTACCTGACACCTTTGCTTTATCCCTCCTCCAAGCAACCAACTCATTTTCCCCATGACTCCACCCTTGTCAGCTTCACCTAATCCCAAAAAGAGTCGTTGAGATAGAGACAAAAAAAGCCTTCTTTGTGTCTCGCACTAAATTTTCCACAACCCTCCCCCCTCAGAACCAGAAACTGAAAATCATTTTTCTAGTCCTTATGCATCCTCCCATGCATCTCTCTTGCCATCCTCCCTCCTCTCCCACCCATCCATCATCATTCATCTCCTCCAAGCCTCCCCAATAATGAGGACTTTCTGGCGCAAGTGATTAAGGATTTGCAAACGAACTTGCCTCCCCTGAAACCTATCATCTTTGATTCCTCTATCCATCATTCGGTTTACCTTCAACCGGTAATCCTTTGGCTAAAGACGTTGAAAAGTGTTGGCGATTCAAGCTGATCGGGAAAGAGAAATAGCTGAAATTCAAGCCAAATTTTCTCAATATCTCAGTTTCCTTTTTCGAGAAGTCAAAGACGTTGATGAATTTGCTAGCAAGCCCAAAGTTAAAGATTCTTAAAGTTCTGTTATTGTGTCCTTGCATCTTGATGGATCGTTTTGCTAATAGCTAGCCTGGTCTTTTTGGCTTTTATTGTCTCTTTATGATCTGTATTTCTCCTAGTTGGACCTCTTTTTGTTTTATTTCTTTTCACTTTTTCTCTCTCTCCTTCGGGAGTTTGTATCCTGAACTTTTTCTCCTTTTAATATATCAATGAAAAGTTGTTTCTTGTTAAAAAAAAAAAAAATAGTCCCTTGGATGAAGACTATGGATTTGGGCATCCTTTTCTGCTCGCAAAGTCTCCCAAACTAAACAAAAAACAGAGAAAGCATAACAAATATGTTAGAGAAGTATTAGACCTTTACTCGTCCATTAATTATGATGGACTTTCATCCGTTAATCCACCTGATGTTTCATGTCTCATAACTAAAATGGGCAATGGGAGATTTCGTGGGCACAAAATAACTTGGATACAGGGGAATGAGAGGTTCTACTTTGCTGGTAAAATATGGTAGAAAGTGAAGCTACATGCGAACCCGTCGAAACCTTTAAGAGACAGTTCCTTGACATCCATCTTGAGGACAAGGTGGCTTCGCCTGAGGGGGGTGTGAAGCCTCTGGTGGTAATTACTTACTCTAGGAAGGGTAGAATATAGAATGTCCCCACCGACGTCTAGGATCGTGGGGGATTCTCCGTACGACTGTTGGTGCTGTAGGGCTTAATATGTGCAGGGTAGTAGTCGCTAGGAAGGTTTGTGTTTATTTTGTGCAAGTGTGCTAGGAATAGGAAGGAGAGATTCCCAGTCCTCTCTAATTGATTGTCGCTTGTTGTATGGCCTGAGGGCCTTGTTTCTTTCATCGTAAATATCATAATAGTGAGAGATACCTTACAGTTTCCCCCTCAATGGCAAGCAACGGCCTCCTACGTTTTGGAACCCTATTCTGGAAAGAATGAGGAAAATGCTTAGTTCTTGGGAGAACTCCCCTTTTTCTAAGGGTGGTAGGCTCACTCTCATACATGCCACCTTATTCAACCTCTCTATTTATTATCTATCACTTTTTTCCATCCCATCTAAAGTGGCAAACGAGGTTAATGTATGCCATGTGATTCATGTCCATTTCTTATAATTTTTCACTTTGTAGAAAGAATCAGCAATGATGCACATTTTATTTCTACAGTTGCTAAAAAATCTAGTTCAGAGGAGAAGAATGGTAAAGAAATCAATGAAAAATGCATCTGGTATCAAGCTCCAGCAACTTGAAATTCAGCAGCAGGCACTAAAGCTCACTGCAAACAGGCATTTTTCTGCTTATGTCTATTTTTCAATATTTTGCTCCATATATCTCATAAATTAATTGTCAACATGAGCTAGCTAATTGGTATTGTCACCTATCTCCAACCATGAGGTTATGAGTTCGAATGCCCCCACCCCCACTTGTTGTACTAAAAAAAGAATGTCTCATAAACAGAACTAATCATCTTTTTTATTGTGCATTTACATGCTCTGGTGATGGTGATGCAGCATGTATGGATGTCTAGGGTTTTCTAAATCAAGGTTTTACGCAAAACCACTAGCAGAGCTGATTACTTTTCAAGTAAGGGAATTAGGTTGCTTATGTTGCAGTTTCATATGCCAATTATGTAAAAGACTCCCTACGATCTTTAGTCTTCCAACCGAAAGAAAAAAAAAAAGAAAAGAAAAAGAACTTGCATGTACGTCACTTATTTACTTATTTTGCAGGGAAGAGAAGTACTGCAGAGCACTGTTGATTTTGTCCGCAATAATTTAAACCTAGAGGTCTTAGCTGAACGCTGAAATTCATAAATTATATAGATTTCCCAACGTATGTGCATAATTTTAGTGCACTGACAAGTACTTGTCTCATGAATTGATTATTTTCCACACGACAGGTAATTTATGGCGATACTGATTCAATAATGATTCATAGTGGACTTGATGATATTGGCAAAGCGAAAGCAATTGCAGGGAAAGTGATACAGGAGGTGAGGTTGTGTGGTCTGATTGAATTTTCCAAAGTATTTATCGTAGCAATCACGTTAGAAACTCTCATGATTTAAAATCTAAGCCTTATAAACTTCTCTTATGTTTTAGTATCGAATTATAGCGTTATTGAAAATTGTGGAAGTTTCCGTTCTATTCCTTCTCTTTTACTCTTATTAACTGGCTATTGTATAAGAATGGATAGTAATAAAAAAGAAGGTTCAACACCTTGTGGGTCTTGAAAATTCCCTCGCAAAATACTAGAAAATAGATTTTAGGTCCATCTAATTTATTCGTAATATATTGGAATGCTTGTATGACACAACCCAACAAGTTCCCGTGGCGTAGATCAGACAACAGAAGAATTTTTATCCATGTAAAAAATCTAAATCTTTCCGCTCATGGTCTCTAAGTCTCAATGTGAGGTATTCTTTCATGTTTCTCTTTTTCTAGGTCAATAGAAAATACAAGTGTTTAGAAATTGATCTCGATGGTTTGTACAAGAGAATGCTGCTTCTGAAGAAAAAGAAATATGCAGCTGTAAAGTTGCAGTGCAAGGAAGGAATGCCGTATGAGGTAACTATCATATACTTTCATTTGCTCTGTTAGTTCTCGACTGAAATAAATTGGAGCTAGAGCAGTGTCAAAGTTTACTTCGTTTCATATGTACAGGTTATTGAGCGCAAGGGTCTTGATATGGTTCGCCGTGACTGGTGTTTATTATCAAAGGAATTAGGAGATTTCTGCTTGGGTCAAATATTGTCTGGAGGGTATGTAACGTTGCCACCTTGAGAGTTTTATTTACTATTCTACGGAATTTATTTATTTGGAAACTGCATTAATTTTACTCTAACCACCCCCCACCTTTCCCCATGCTTATAGGTCATGTGATGATGTCATTGAGTCAATACATGACTCTCTTAGGAAGGTAAAAGTTGTACCTTTTCATGACTACTTTGTTGATTGTTCTTTGATAATCAATAAAGATAGAGTTTAGGTTGGTGGTCAGAAAGTTCCTACAATTTAAATTGGGGTGTGTGATAAATTGGCAATGATCCTGAAACAACTCTGAAAAATGTGGACACGTAACAAGTGACACCCCCCTCGTGCGCACACTATGAAATTAAAGAAATAAAAGCACCAACACTACTCAGGAAAGGGCGAAATATAATAGAAAAATGAGCCTTTGGATGTCTGTAATTATTGGGAATTCTTTCGGATTAAATATGCAAACTTTACACAGATACAAGATGATATTAGGAGAGGGCAAGTAGCACTTGAGAAATATATCATCAGGAAGACATTGACTAAGCCACCTGAAGCCTATCCTGATGCCAGAAACCAACCACATGTTCAAGTAAGCAAATGCTTAAACCACTGCAAATTATTTTATCTACCATTACTTTTGTTTTGAAGATGACGTCTGTGTAATGTACAGGTTGCGCAAAGGTTAAAACAAATAGGTTATCTTACGGGCTGTTATGTTGGTGATACGATCCCGTATATAATTTGCTGTGAGCAGGTTTGTGCAAGTGGTTTAGTATTTATTTCCTAGATATGATGCTATAACCGTAGCTGTGTTTATAATATAACTATTTTATGGTGAAATCTAAAAGTTGGAAGAACATTGTTACTTTATTATTTTCCTTTCCATTTTTTTCTTTGCTTTGCTTTTTCGGCCAGGGATCTACTTCTGGTGGTTCTACAGGCATTGCTCAGCGGGCTAGACATCCTGAAGAACTTAAAAGAGAAGGTGGAAAGTGGATGATTGATACTGATTACTACTTGTCACAGCAGGTCTTTTTTCTTCATGTTTTTGCTTTTCCACGAATAATCATGATCTGTTGTTACTGTCATTCTATAATGATTTCATGTTGTTGACATATGAACGAATAGATACACCCTGTGGTCTCTCGTCTATGTGCCTCAATTCAGGGCACAAGCCCAGAATGCTTGGCTCACTGTCTGGGGCTTGATCCATCGAAGGTAAAACATGATCCTGCTTACTGGAGGAAAAAAGAAAAGAAAAGAAAAGAAAAAGTTGGGGTTTCCTCACTTTCTAAATATTACATGCACACTTCTGAGGTACTATACTTAATTATGTTCAGTTCAAGATCAAATCATGTGAAGTTTTCAGCAGCGATGTCTCCTCTTCCCTCGTGTCCTGCGTAACTGATGAGCAAAGGTCATGATTCGAATTGTTAAAACTTCACATAACTTCAAACTAATCCTTGAATTTCCCTTGGAAACTTGTTATAAGTTGCGTGGATTCTAAAATAATAACATTGCTTTTGTTTGACCACCTACAGGTACCTGGACTGTAAACCACTGGTATTGACTTGCCCTAGGTGTTATGGTACTTTCGAAGTTCCTACTATCTTCAGTTCTATATACAAATCAACATATGGAAAGCAAGAAAGACCAGTGGTTGATGAACCTACAAAAAAGTTTTGGAGTAATTTCAAATGTCCAAACTGCAAGGATTTGTTATGGGTCCCTGACGAAGCTAATGCTACGGGTAGGGGTAGAATGACGTGTGGAATGATTTCCAACCAGGTAGGTGCCTATGAGACTACTTTTTCCAAATAACAATTAATCATATTGCTCATTCCAGAGAACATAGTACCAAGAGTTGCTTTTGAATCAGCAAATAGTTTTAAACGCTACAAGATCAGGATAGTTTTAAATTCTGGATCAAATTTGGTATAACCCCATAGAGTGTGCTCTCAAAATTTGACTGACTTGTTATTGTTATGCGTCTCTTGAGAGGACATGTTTCAATTTGGCAATTTTGTAACAATATCCAAATGTAACATGTTACAGGTAAAAATGCAAACAGACAGGTTCATTGCAAAGTATTATCATGGCTTAATGATGGTAATTTACCTCTTAGAAATCCTTTTTTTGGGCTGATTATATAGTTATTGAAGTGGTGTAAATCTAAAAAATCTTTTGAATATTATAGTGCGACGAGGAAACATGCAAATACACCACATGTATTGTCAACCTTCAACGTGCGGGTGACTCCAAAAAAGAGATTCTCTGCCCAAAATATCCTCAGTGTGATGGGCGTCTCGTAAGAACGGTATTACATTATCTACTTCAAAAGGAATATGAATATAGTCCTTTTACATATTTTGATTCTTCCTAGAATTATGGCTCTAATTGTGAATGCCCCTGTATATCAGTATACTAAGGCGGACTTGTGGAAGCAGATTTGTTATTTTTGTCACGTGTTGGATACTGAACGCTGTATGGAAAAGGTTATTTGCTTCTCTATATTCACGTCATATTCTTGAGTTGAGACAATGCAATCGCTGTTAATATCTTGTTGGCTTTGTGCAACAGCTGGAGGTTCATAGAAGGGTAGCTTTAGAAAAAGAAATGGCAAAGATTCGAGCATTGGTAAAGTTGGCTGCATCGACGGTTAATAAGGTTCGATATCGCAGCGCATATGGTTCCATTAAGTTGAAGGATATTGCAGTGAGTTTGCATATGGCACCATGTTAGGCAGGCTAGATATCGAACTCATAACTTCTTGGTTGGAGATATATGTCAATTAACGTTAAGCTATACATACTTTGACAGGTTAGATATCTATTTATAATTACCATTCGTTGCATCGTATATGTTTGTCACGTGGATGAATACTGAAATAGGACATTGGGTGGAATTTTTATTCTTGCCTTCGTCTATTGTGAGTTGTTACATTATATGTAACTTTTGTTATTAATACAAGTATTTAATTTACCAATAATTTCAGCTAGATATGTTTCTACAAATTTGTGGGAAAATGATGTAACATTGGATGCATTTAAGGTACTTGTTACTATCTCAGTGTCGATGTTTCAATTCTTCACTCTTCATGCCAAAGGAAAAAAAATGTTTGTAACTAGTGTAGTCTAGTGTTTGAATGTTACCTTTCTGAGAGATGAAAATTTCAAAGTGTAACAAATAACTAATGGTTAAAATATCGTTCGACGCATCGACATGTCAATATGTCAAGGATCCGAAATATTGGACAAGGGGGAATTTTGTTTTCAAGTGCATCACTAGTGGCCATAGCCTCAAGTGCATCTACATCATAGATAAAACGGTAAGTTTCTGTAAAGGTCAGCATAATGTCATTTCCAAAAATTGCAGAGCAAAATTACTTCCTCCAACATCTTCGTTGACATTTGGGCCTTACACCACCCCATGAAGTCATCAAAATGTAAATACCCATTAGTATTAAATTTTGCATAAATGGCTAAATACCTTTGACCATATTTATTTTTTTTCTTTCTTATTTTCAACCGCCTAACAAATTTGATTTTAAATCAATTTTCTTTTCCCACGAAGGATGTTAAAAGTTAGTTTTCTAATCTTTTATTATATTATGAATACCTATTTAGTGACTTTAAAAATATTTAGTGACTTTTGAATAATTTTAAAAATATTTAGTGGAAGGTCAACTCAATTATCATAATTAGAAGGTCAATACATGTATATACAACTTGAAGGTTAAAATAGGAAATTTTCATTTTTTTTTGAGGGGGAGAGAATAAGAGAGTGAGGGAGGGAAAGTTGGAAAAATCCATAGAAATTGAGAAATTTTCATTTTTTTTCTTTCCCTATGTTTAATAGTAGATTTTGCTCTTAAATTTTTACATAATTTGTAAAAAGCTTAAAAAATGAAGAGAAAAAATCGAGGAAGGCTGCATAAATTTTCTATTCATTTTGTGAACGACGAAAGGGTTATAAAAGATGAAAAGCAAGGGTAAAAATATTCAAATTAACTAATGATAATAGGTTCTAAATGGAATAGTTAACATGGTAGTTTAACCTTCCCCGCAAGCTGACTGGATGATGAATAACAATGAGCTTGAGATGTAATTGTTGGTTGGATTTATGTTATAAATTCTTATACATGCAAGTATACACAAGCAAGTAATAAAAAGTTCGAATCACAGGGACTAAGTATCAAACACTCAATAATTACATAAGAAATGCATTAAACTAACTAATTTTCTTTTGCTACACATGCTAAAATAAGCATCAACCCAAGGGTTTTAAAGATATTCATAAACACACTTAATAATCGTCAAAACTATCAAATATGAACAACAAACGAATAACTTCTTCTAAAATGAGGGAGTAAGGGGGAGAGAATCGTGACTTTTTCTGGGCTATTCTAACGATGTTGCAACATTAATGAAGTGAAATAGTGGTCAAACAGACAAGACGCCTTTCCAGACATCCCAAATTTTCTACTATTAGGGTTCTTAGACAAACAATAACAACATATGCGAACAATTTATAACCAAGCTAGGTGGTTCTTATCCCTAAGTTCTCACTCTCTAACTCAAGTAGAATCTAGCTCGAAATGAAGTTTTTCGCTCCCTATTACATTTTTCCAAAAGTTAACAATAAGGTATTTCAACATGGTGATCAAGCCTATTGAAAATTGATTAATAAAACAACTTCAACTCAAAACACACTATCATTAATACAGAACAACAAAGTTACCGCCTTTGAAATGAGTTCACTACATCACCCCCTTACAAAAGGTGATTAGCTACACGAATCCATAAGGGAGTCAAGAAATATAGGAATGAAAACAATATAAAGAGTTTAAAAGATGAAGAGAGGGAGTTGAAGGTCAGCTCCCAACAAGTGTCTTGGTCTCTGTTCAGCAACGATTGTTTGAGTCTTCTTCTCCTCTTGACTTCCTCGAACGGTTGGAGAGGTTTTTTTGAAGTAAGGGTTGAGTGATTGTAAGAATGAATGGGGTTGTGTCTTGTGTGTGTAGAGACTCTTCTTCTTGTTGACATTTATACCTCCCTCCGTTTTTAGGGCAACAAAACAAGTCCTGTGGGGCCCAACTCTCACTTTCAGATGAAACCTCCAGTTACTGTGGTAACTTCCATTGAGAAGTCTTTTTACTGTCAGCTTGCTACTTTCTATCTCTTTTTGAACCTGATGTTGTAGCATCATCAAAACTGGAGCATCATCAAAGCTACAGCAAAATGGTCAAAATTAGATCATTTACATATGGTAGCATTATAAAGGAGAAATTTGATTTTTATGATACTTTAGGAACAACTCAGCGAATATGGGGACTAGATGAGGCTATCTTTAGCTATCTTATATGAATTTTAGACACAAATAACTCTCTTTTGAAGAGTTATCAATAATCCATGGAAATGAGAGATCAGTAAGCCTTTGGTCATGATATTGGCAAGTTGGTTCTCAGATGAAACATGACGAACAATAAGCTAATTAGAGAGAATATGGTCACGAGCAAAATGTTGATCAATCTCAATGTGTTTTGTTCTCTGATGCATGATAGGGTTGGAGGCGACATAGGTTGCACTAATATTATCACAAAGAAGAATGGGTGTAGAGCGTGGTGGAAAACCTCCACCAATTCTGAAAGCACAGAAACTACCCAAACTACTTCAGTTGCGGCACTTGCCAAACCTTGATATTCTGATTCAGCACTAGACCGAGACACGGTTTTATGCTTAGATGAAGACCAAGAGATAATGTTGTTTCCTAGAAACGTACAACAATCACTTGTGCTTTAGCGATCATCTGGACAACTAGCCCAATCCGCATCAGGGTAGCATGTGATAGTAAGGGGCGAAGAGGTAAGATAGAGACCATGACTAGGTGTTCCTTTGAGGTAGCACAATATACACTTTACAACATTCCAATGCACAGATGTTGGAATGTGAAGAAATCTACATGCCTTATTGACTGCAAATGATAAATCAGGTGAGTGATGGTACAGTACTATAAAGCTTTCACAATGCTCCTATATTCACTAAGATTGGGCAAAGGCTCACCATCATAGAGAGACAAAGTTGTTCCAAAAACCATCGGAGTAGTAATTGGCGTATTGTCGTACATCTCAGCTCGTTTCAATGTAAACCATCACGTAATAAGGGGATATAAATGCCAAGAAAGTATGATAAAGCACCAAGATCCTTAAGTAAGAAGCAAGTGTTCAAGCTAGAAATCAAGTAGTTAAGTAAGGAAGTGTCACTACCTGTTACAATGATGTCATCCACATAAACAAGAATGATCAAAACAATAGATGAGGTGCGCAAGAAAAACATGGAGATATCTGACTTAGCTGAAGTAAATCCTCAATCAGCAAGACATGAATTGAATTTTAAGAACCACGCCCTTGAACTTTCTTTTAAAACATAAAATGTCTTGTTGAGACGACAAACATAGTCCAGATGCTTAGAATTAATAGCCAGGATGACCAAACGGTGGAGGATGTAGAACATCTCTGCTGTGAACAATGAAAATCCTAAGTTGGAATGTTCGAGGATTGAAGAATATCTAAACATCAAGAGCACTATGACACCATGTTCAACACCCCAATGGAAACCATATGTAAGAACCATTTGGAGGAGAAAATCAAGAGAAAACTTAACTTGGGCTGCCGTATTTGTGTTTCGAGTAATGGAAATATAGGACTGGTGCTTCCATGAGAAAGTGAAACGAATGTAAGCCTTAGCTCTTTTTCACAAGGTCACATAGATGCAGTCATTACTGACAGGTCGGAGCTTTGGTATTTTACTGCGTTCTATGGGCAGCCAAACTAGCTAGAAGACAAGGAATGAGTCTATACTATTTTCTAGTCAACTATGATCTTCAGCCAAATTTTCCCCGACATCTTGATTTTCTGGCCTATCATCACATACCTATACTTGCAAGTTGCAAGTTGGAATGCAGCTCCTTTGGGTCGAGGATCTCTAGTTTTTTGAGGAAAGTTGGGAACTATCAGAGGACTACTGCAGGGAGATAATATCAAAAAGTTTGGGTAGGAAAGATTGCCTCTTGCCTAAGCTTGCAAAGTAAGATCATAATTCCAAGTTTAAAGGCGTAATTTTAAGAAAACTATACTTATAGCCTCTCAACTTTTACTTTATGTGACTATTTGGTTCTTGAGTTTACAAAAATTATGATCTAGCACTTGAATTACAAGAGAGTTCTTCACTATCATCGTTTGCTTCGGTAATGGTAGCTTAACTTTTCTATGTTGATGTAATAAAAACTAGGGAAAAAAAAACTCTTTTCGTCTCCGAAGTTTGGAGTAGAGGTCTACTTGGTCTCTGAACTTTCAAAATGAACAATTTTGATTAGATTTGGAATAGGTATCTATTTGGTCCCTAAAATTTCAATATAAGCATTTTTAGTTCTTGAAGTTTGATAAATTGTTCTAAAGGGTCCTTGAGCTCTTTGACCATAATGACATGGCACATTTTACTTGCTAATCTCTCTCTCTTCCCACCTTCTCTCCTTATTAGTTATTATCTCTTAGGGACCAAATAGACACTACTCAAACCTTGAGGACCAAAACTGTATTTTTTCCTAAAAACTATATGTTTTAGGTTTCTATTTTAGTCCATGAACTTCCTTTCTTCTATTTTGGTTTTTGAACTTTTCAAATATCTATTTTAATCCTTAAACTTTTATATGTTTATTGGTCCGTGAACTTTCACGATGTCTATTGTCTACTTTAGCCCTTAAACTTTCAAAAAATAACCATTTTGGTCCTCATTAGATTATTTTCCACCTAAACTTATCCAATACTTAAATTTCAACCCATGTGGTTTAAATACATATACCCACGATGGTACACATACTCAAAGTCATGTAATTTGTTAAATCCAAAATAAAAGTAAAGATAAAAAAAAATGTAGATTAAAATATTATACATGTTTTGAAAGCTTACGGACAAAAATAGAACAAATCTAGAAGTTAATTGCCACAATACACGTTTTGAAAGTTGAAAGACTTAAAATTCATCGGTGGTGTTGTTGACGTGTTAAATGTATGTAAAAATTTGAAAACTCAAGCTATTTGTGAAATATAATCTATAAACTAGTCGGAACACTTACGGATATTAAAGAAAAAAAAACATTCTTTTTTAAAAAAGTGATCAATTTGATACTTATTTGTAAAATGCTAACATAAATTTCATGCAAATAGAAACCTTTTAATAAAAGTTTATAATCAAAATCGAATGAGATCCAAACGAAAATGAAGAAAAAGGAGAGAAATTATGGATGAGTTGTTCCACTGCTTTAAAAATCTGGGAACCTTTACGTCGTTTATACGAATCTCCTTTGCCTCTCTCTCATCAAACTCAATACATGTGATTTTAAAATAGAAATTCAAAATCCATAAAATAAATTTGATGACAAAACAAAAATTAAAATAAAAGTTGAGTACCACAATAAATTATATGAAAGAATAAAGCTAAAAGTTACAATAAAATATAGTAAATTAAATCCGTTACTTTTTTTTTCTTTTCTTTTTTGATAACTATAATAATTTTAGTTAACTTGACATTTTCTTTATTAGTTTTAAAATATTTATTGTGCATGGCATAAAATTGTGTTCAATGATTACTGTGGAATATCGCGTAAAAATTGTTTTCAATAAGTTGATTCGATCTATGATTTGATTTATACTCTGGTTGACAACTCTTCAAGTTAGAGTACAATAATGGTTGAAGATTCAAGAGTTTACCCTTAATCATACGAATCTCTAAACTTTCATGATAAATCAATTTATACCCTATTTAAAAATCATAAACAAACAAGTCTAGTAGAGAAAAATGTCGGAATCAAATGGGTCGTAGCGAGTTTCATCGAGAGAAAAATAGAAGGAAAATAAATAGAAGATAAAAAACCGACCATGTTGATCTCGGACATCTAGATATGATGAGACTTTCCCTAAAAAGTCACTTTGTTTAAAGAGAGGGAGGGGGAATAACATCTAAACATATAGTTTTCAATAATCAGAATAGAAATTTAAGGAAGAATAAGAACTAGCCGCACAGACCCACGTGCTCAATGGCAAAAGTTGAAAATTCAAAAATCAAAATGAACCAAGACTGTCCAAATACATGAAACAGAATTGAAATATTTAATTTATTAACTCTAATAGTATCCTTTAAGTTGTGAACATAGCAATCATGTGCAAAAATTAATGAGATTTATTAAAAGAACATTTTAAAACAAATCAAGAAGACATATTCTCCTGCTACTATGAACAGAGGCATGATGACGAAATGCTTTGAACAACACCATGTATCTCTAACTAAGCTACGATCACCTTCAAATTTTGCAAAACCCTTCCAAAAGTTGCATTTCTCTAATCATCTTTTCGAGCATATAGAACTTTATCGGCCGAGTCGATTTTCGCCTGCACAGAAACATTTTTGAAGATCAGAAAAAGAATGACCAAAATTTTCGAGGCAGAGATGAGAGTTTCCCAGAGCCAAGACCTTAATTTGGTTGGTGTTTATAAAGGATATAAGCTTCTTCTCAAGAGCTTCAATGGTGGTGCTGAAGACATTTGCCATCATCTGCAAATCAACCGATGCAAAAGGCTGAACATAGAGTACCACAGCTCGGTTTCTTATTTGATCATATAGTGTCTCAAATTGGTCATACAAAAATCTGTCAAATGGCAGCCATTCTCTGAGATGATTGAGGTGCTCGAAGCATGAACGAAAACGCCTTGCCAAAAAGACAAAAGATCAAATTACAACCATGAACTTTAAAACGTTTCAATTACATCCGTGCGCGAGAAAGGGGAGTTAATGTTCTCTATACCCTGAGTAGAAGTCAGAGATGAGCTCTCTAACTTCAATGACTGAACCCAAATAGGACTGGAAATCATCATTCTCCAAAACTAAAGTCTGCCAGTGGGAAAAACTTTTAATCAGATAAATTTTGTGCAAAGTAAAGTAATTGGAGGATAAGAAAAAGATAGAAAAATTGTTGCCTTCAACTCTGTTCGTTCCATAGTTGCAAGTGCACATAGCCCGCCATAGGTTGCAATATCATGAGGAGCCAACACTACTGAAAACTGGCTTCCCAATTCTCTACTTATTTTCAGAAACTGCATAGATTTCAGTCACATTGATACTCTTTCTAATTTTCACAAACCCGACTCTCCAAACTCGGTTCTTCCTTTACTCGAAACTCTTTAAAAACATAAAGATGAAGTCAAAATACAACCAAATAATAAGAACTAAGAACTAAGACTATAATCTAACCTTTTATCTATGTACTTTGGTTTAGTAGGTCAACTTTAATCGTATGAAAATGAACTTTAAACTTGAATAGGTAGTACAATTAATATCTTCTTGAAATTAAAATGCTCATAAATAAGTTAATAAATTAAATAATGTTTTTCAATAAAAATTGTGTCCAAAAATAATGAGATCTAAATATAAGAATACTCAAATCTAGCCACAAAATTAAGCAACGAACAAAAATGTTCAATCATAACTACAAAATGCTGGAATCGATCCATTTAATGTTGAATTAATTAGCGCAGCTTTGATACCACTTGTTGAATAAATTAGTACAAAAGGAAAGAGATTGTGAGTTGAAAATATACTTTTATTAGGAAAGTAGAAATATGGACACTCTTGATGGAAGACTCTCTCACACTCTCTAATTTTCCTCTCTTTCTTCACTCACTTCACTTAATTCACTCTCTTCACTCTTTCATTTGATTCACATTGACATCTCTCTTATTTATAGGAGAAAGATCCTTTGAGCCCAAGCAAAAGAAACTTTTTAGACTCCTCTCAAATCTTACATATTCTAAATCTTTCTTTATCTATTCTTATCCAAAAGATTTCTAAAATCTTTTGGAACCTAAAGGAAAGTCTAAGATATTTCTAGATCATTTTCTTTAGATATTTATTTACAATCTTCAACAACAATCTAGAAAGACTAACTATTATTCATAGAGAAATGTGTAGAAACTTCCAAGAAGCTTCTAGATAGTTAGTGTTGTATTTCAACATTTAAGAAATAATATCCATACCCATAAAAATCAATACCCACAAGAACAGTCAAGACTCGCCACAAGAACACCATAGCTAGTTACTAATTACAAATCTTTAAGTATATCTATAGAAACAAACTTTAACTATTGGAGGGCATTAATGTTACCATATATGCAAGTTTATAGTTGGAATTGGAAAGAAATTAAGCTCATTAAGGCAATAAGGAATGTAAACTGAAGTTTTCCCTTTTGACTCCTATGGCACACAAATGAGTGATTCAAATTCGAAACTCCATGAAAGCAATGAACAAGAAATCAAACCTTATCAGCAGCATCTCTAAAGCGCTGTGTCTTCAACAAACCCAATCCGAAGGCACAGCGCAGTTTTCCAGCAGTAATCGGGTCACAATGTGTTAGTTCTTTTCCAGCAATAGAGGCGAACAGAGGAAATTTGCCCATCTCAATGAAGACGATAATCACACGCGATCCCAAATCATGGTACGATCTACTGGTCACGTTGTAAAATTGGGTTCTCTTATACCGTAAAATAGCCTCGAGAATCGCACCATGGGCGTAATAGAAATCTCCCGCATAATTATACGCAGTTCTTGCGCCCTCCGCAGAAAGGATGCCTTTCGTGAAATCTTTCTATCAGAAAACGATGAAGATCAAGAACAGAGAAATTCAATCTAGACGGAGAAATTAATTAATTAATTCACACCTCGCATTGATGCAACCGAATGTCTAACCCTTGTTCCATCAGCTGCTTCGTTCGATTCACCGAGCGGCACCAATCTTCATCCATCGCGTAGTTAGGGCCCAATCTCCCGTCAATCTTCTCGACTATTTTGGTGAAGAGCGAGACATCCTTGCCCTCCTTAGCCGCATCATAGGCTATTCGGAGCGCTCCAGTTGCATCGTCCGCCGCCGTTCGTCGCCACCGCAGTGGACGGCGATGGATAGGAGGCGTAGGATCTTGGTTCGACCTTGGTAGTTGCTCGCGTACGCTTCGATGTCGAAATGCTTGCCTATCAAGATCGGCCGTCGGCTCCGATGCTGTTCACCGTCGAAGGCGTTACTGAACTCCCATATCTCCTCGTGGCTGTTGGATTTGCCTGCCGAGAAATTGACCTCGCCGGCTTCCATGGCGCCGGAGATGAGGAAGGTTTCGCCGGAGATTCTTGCGGAAGCAGAGAGGGAAGTTTTTGAAGGCCGCGCGAATGTAGCTGTTCGGTACCGTTGCAAAGTAATCAACGGCCGAAAATAATTAAATAAATAAACAAGAATACATTGTTTGTATTAATATATTTAAAGTTACATTATTAAATTTTTGAAATTAAAAAGTAAAAATTAGGTTAAAAAATATTTTTTGAAACAGTGTTACTTTACTTTAATTGAAGTGAAAATTTAATATTCGAACCTTTTTTTTTAGATATGTGGGCTAACAAAAATTAAGTTTTTTTTATTATTATATAAAATTTTAATATTTGTAATTTATAAATACATTTAATCTCTCCTGAGTTGTTATGGATCTAAGGATTTTTTTTAATAATGTTTTTTTATTTTATTCTAAAATAATACAGATTTAAATAAAAATGTGCTTTTTTCAAATTTATTAAAAAATAATGTATGTGAAATTAGTTGTATCTTGAATAGACYTTTCCCATTTCTTCTCACGAGACAAAATCTCGTTAAAATCTCCACCGATCAACCAAGCCGCCACTATTTGTCGTTATGGAAAACACACCCATCTATATGAAATAAAGAGTAGGAAATGAGGCGAATCTCAAATTTGCGGACCAAAAGCATAGCTAACCCGCCACTCTTTCATTCACTATCAACAGAAAAACACAACTGCCGTTTTGCAAAATCGAAACGCTCTTTTTTGGCTCTAGTTTCAAAGACGAACACAAACTGGGGTTTATTCAACTGTACCACCACCGAAGATAGCTTGCAAAATGCCCTGAGCCTATTTGGTTACAATACGAAAACTTAATTTTTCTTTTTCTTTTTTTCATTTTGTTTTGTCTCTTTTTTTTTCTTTTTATACAATATTCTTTACGTTCTAACCATAAATGAAATAGTTGGATGATATTTGGGAACATTTACTACTCTTGATCGAGATTCCAAATTGACATTGATAACATGAGTCGTTTATTTAACAACCTCAAGATGAATTGTACTGTTATTTGAATTGTTAGGCTTACTCACAATTGGAATATCAATCTTCTACTTTTATATATATATATATATATTATATAAAGGAGATTTTTAGGCCAAACAAATATGCAACGAAACTCTAAAAAATTTCACTTTCTTTCTATTTTTCTCTTCTTAAATTGACAATAGTTGTCTAATTTATAATATTCTAAAAGGGGAAAAAAGAAAAGAAAAAGAAAAAAATATATATTCTCATGTTTGTAAACTTTTTCCATACATTTCAAATTTTAATTTTTTAATTTTAATTTAAGTTTATATAATATTTTAGTCCTTTTACATTTTTAACTTTTGTTCATTTTGATCCTTGTGTACTTTTGGACATTGATTTTGGTTTATGTATTTTCAATTTTGTTTTATTTTAGTTATTCTACTTCCAAAACATTTTTTCCGTTCTCTATACTTTTTTTTCTTAAATGATCAATTCGCCCCTATTTACAAAATGCTAACACAAATTTTATATAATTAAAAACTCTTTAATACAAATTTGTGGCTACATTTCAAGATATTTAGGTAATGAAATATTGTGTTAAAATTATGGTGAAAAAAAATGAGATCAAAATCAAAACGAAAGGACCAAAATTATATCTTTTTTTATTAATACAAAATGTGAGGTGGAAATTCAACTACTTTTCTTTTAATAAGAGTGTCTTAACCAATTGAATTATGAATTGAAAGCGCAGAACTAATTAAAATGAAACCAGTAAAAGTACAGGGAAATCAAAGTCAATACATTTGATTTTAAAATAGAAATTCAAAATCAATACCATATAAGAATAAAAGAAAAAGTTTAAAATAGAAGTTATCCACAATAAAATAATAAAGCTAAAAGTTAAAATAAAATATAGTAAATTACATTAAATAAAATATAGTAAATTACATTCTATTTTTTTAAGTGTTTACCTTTTGTCCATTTCAAAATTGTGATTTAACTTGTGAGTTTTGTAAAATAGTTAAATCCGTTACTCTTTTTTTTTTTATAACTATAATAATTTTAGTTAACTTGACATTTTCTTTATTAATTTTAAAATATTTATTGTGCATGGCATAAAAATTATTTTCAATAATTATTTTGATGCCACATAAAAAATTGTTTTCAACAACTTACCTCAATCTATGATTTGATTTATGAGAACAACAATAGAACTATGCTCATGTCTGCGACCCTTTGCAAGTTATAACAAGAGTTAAGAGTACGATAATCGTAGAAGATTCAAAAGTTTTAAATTATTACGTAAAAATATCTATACAAATCAATTAAGACCCTAAACTTTTATAGATAAATCAATTTATACCCTATTTAAAAATCATTAACAAACAATTCTAGAGAAAAATGTTGGAATCAAATGGGTCATGGAGACAAAAATAGAAAGAGAGAAAAAAAGGATAAAAAAACCGACCATGTCGATCTCGGACGTCCCGACATGATGAGAGACTTTCCCTAAAAGTCACTTTGTTTAAAGAGAGGGAGGGAGAAATAACATCTATGCATATAACTTAAGAATGGAAATTTAAGGAAGCATAAGAGCTAACAGCACATATTATTTTAAAGGAACCGTACAACGTAAGAGACATTTCAAGATCACCCTACCCATTCTAAGGGGACTGGAAACTGCTAAAAACCATATACCAAGACACAAATTCAAGTAGTTATTCTATTTTTTGCAAAGGAATTCAAGTAGTTATTCGTTCAAATGACCTTTCTTTTTCATCCTGTCCTGTGAGATTTGGCTTTACTTCTTCACGACACCTTCGGTTTTGATGCCGGGGGAAGCAACTGCACATAGATTGACAAGTGTTATGCAAAACCGACCCATGGATCTCGAGAGGGTTTATGCCCTTGCATTATCCCTCACCAAACAACTCCAAGATTCTACATATGATTTGTTTATCTTATCGTACATCTTTGTAGTCTAGAGAAAATAGTTCTCGAAAACTTGTTTACGAGCTTATCGATCTTTATCATTTATCAAACAAAACCTAAGAACAAAACAAACTATCAATTAAGCATTACCTGATAGCAAGAGATCAGAGAACTAACGAATCCGAAAGCGCCTGTGACACGTGGCGTAACTTTCTTTGGTGCCAACTGAAGTAGTCCAACAGCAACCACTAAATCCATGGATGCTTTAATCAGGGCCAGGGACCTTTCATTTGATTTTTTAAGATTTTCACGATATTTCTCGTCCTACGCACACAAAATGTATCGAAGTAAATACTACAGAATATAAATAAGGATCAGTGACGAAGTATTCTATTTATTTGAGAACTGGTTACACACTTGGGGGCTACAAACTTGACGTTTATCGCTGTCCCTAAGATCCTTCTCCAGCTTCTTCATTGTAGCGGATAGCCTTCCAATCTCTCCAAGCTGAGGTTACAAGAGTAGAAAAAACCAGAACATCAATATTACTTATTAACTAAAAGGTTCTGAATCACTTAAAAGGTTCTGAATCACTTGTAAGTCAAATCAACATACCTCCACCAACACTGTGCAGAATGAAGCGCCCAACCAACAGAACAAAGAAATCCTTCCAATACGTTCAGAACGTTCCTTATTCTATTTGCGACATAACATATAAGATATAAAGCTTAGTTACTTATCAATTGTTGTATTTCTTAAATATAGCAATGTGCTGAAAAGGGAAAAATGCAAGTTGTACCTTGTAGATTCCCGTTCTACCGAGCCAAACAATTTGATCGAGGAAAAGAAAAGTCGATAACAATGCATTTTTGGACTGCAAAAAAAACGAACAAGTAGAACTTAATAAAAGCTGCCACTGATGATTGACATGAAAACAGAAGATTATCACTCTGATACCTTTCCCAGCAGAATAAGAGGAAGGGGAGTTCCTTTAGGAGTTGGACTAATAAGTCCGTGCAGATCATTGACAAACTGTAAACCAATAGAGTGAAAGGAAAAAAAAAAAGATAAATGAATTATAAGATATTAGAACCAAAATGAGATTACAATGAAAATGTATCAACACTGATCGAGAAATAATATCCTAAAAAGTAAATTTCATAGAAAGGAAAAGAAAGGACAGTCTTGAAAATTAAATAATTAAAGGCAGACCTTGAAAAGACGGAAAACTTTTCGAGCTAAGCTGGTAGATTTGTCGACATTTTGTGCCGTACCAGGCTCCCCATTACTCAAGAATTTGGAGCCATATTGTATGGCTCTACATATTTTGTCTCTGGCTTCTGCTTTATTCAGATACAAAACAAGAAGACCAAGTTCCGTTCTGGTTGCATCCAGCGTACTCATAATTCAAAACAATGCACCTTCAAAGTCGAAATGCAGCTAAACTCCATGAACAGAACAATCACCAGCAAGTAAATGAAGCAGTACAGTTAAGAGGAGACGAAACAAGCAAAGTTGAGCAAGAAATCACATCAAAATTCTTTAATTATGCAGTAGTTACAGTACAGAGAATACTAAATTTAAAGAAAAAGGATCGTATCGTGCAGAAATGGCCAATGATTAATGAAAACGGTTGCCTATTCCTTTACATAGACCTTCTTAAGTTCTATAAAAAGGTTTTCCAATGCTTGTATAGTTCAATAAATGAAAAAACTCATGAGAAGACCTGAAACTTTGAACTTTCTGTAACCTATTAAGGCTCTTAATTTTCACATGTACCTGTTAATCTAACAAAACATTGAAAACAGGGGTAAGAGTCAGACCCCAAACCTATAATTTCTATAATCCAAAGCATTTAACTCAAGAAAATCAAGAGAACAAACAATTAAAAATGACCAAACCACCTGCAAATAAGCGCTCAGAAATTGTAAATTGTCAATCAAGACCCAAATTGGGAATTTTTAAGCTCATCCAGAAGACTAAGCAAACAGAACAGCAAGAGGGATCAATAACAATTACGCAACAAGAACAATTATGATTAATAATAACAACTCGGACTAAACATTAGCTCCTTAGCAAATATCTTCCGAATCCATCTGAATTGACTTCAGACTTCTCTTTAATTAAAACAACTGAAATCGTAACATCGGCAGCAAAAACCAGTAATCCCCAAGAGAGCAAGAAATCTCAAACACCCAAATCAAGAAAAACTCTAAAAAAATCGCCAATCGAACCTAATCCCAGAACAGAACATAAACATATCAGACCGAAGCGCAAATTGGGAGAATTAAATAAAACGGAAATGATCATAGTGATTGATTAATCGGATACCTTAAACACGAACCCAGAATGAAAATTTAAGCGGCAATTGCGAAGAGAGCCTCGGAGTTTGCAATTGCGAAGCAAAAAGAGAGAGAGAGAGGAGTGGGAAGAAGAGAGATAAATAGTTTTGTTTGTATAGACGATGGCGATGGATTCAACTTCCTTACTCGTGATCCTGACCGTTGATTATGACAGGAGAATTTGGTGGCACGCCTTCCAACGAGGACTTGCATGGATGGATTGCTCATGTCATATGATTCAAAATCCTTTAAATCTTCTTTAGTTTATCCAAATCCTTGCTTGTAATTTTGTCAATGGCTGCCTTATGTTTATCTAATCTTTGAATAGTTCTACAACTTTTTGGGAATTAATATATAGTTTATAGTTGTTATAACATGATCCAAATTCTAGACTTTTTGTTGACTTTAATATCCATTTGATGAAAAAGTTCGGGTCGAAAATGGTTGAACGACTTCAAAGTCGTTAGATTGTTAATGTTACAGCAAAATCTTTAGTTTCTTATGGTGATAAGGTAAGGGTTTTATAAACATGACATTTCTATATGGCCATAGAATTGACATCAATATAAAGAGTAAATCGTTACTTTATATATCGACGAATTTGAAAATATTAAAAAATATATATCAACAAAATATCACTAACGTGTACGTAGAATTAATATTAATAAGTCAAACAAACATAGTTCATTAATAATTAGTATGCATCTCCAATTAGGAGGATACATGTTTTGTACTTGAAAAAAAGTTAATATTAATAAATTTTATTGAAGGTGTGAAACGTTTATTCGTTATTTTAGATATTTGTTTAGAATTTTTATTTTATTTTATCCATTAGCAATTTAGCATCATATTTTCAATTTAATTTTTTTCCTTTTTCTTTCAAAGGAGAGAGAGATTTGATTTTATATATTTCTTTGTTATTTTCTAGCTTATAATTTAAGCTACAAATACAAGAGGTGGAGATTTGAACAATTGAGTTATATCCTATCCCCTGTAATATTTTATTATTGACTAAATATATATTTTAGTTTCTAAAGTTCAGGTGTCTTTTCAATAGGGTCCCTATTATTTAAAAAGTTTCAATTTAGTCCCTTATATTTTATCATTTTTTAATTTAGTCTTTTATCGTTGATAAATGTTAAATTTGACTGATAATATAAACTGGCATGGCATGGTATAAAAATTAGAAAATCGGTTAAAATTGGCTAGGAGAGTAAAAAAAATCATCTAAGAAAGGAAAATTAATTCCTCCATTTTAAAAAAATCGGTAGAAATTTCAAGTTTTCTTATCTTGATGATCTTTTTTCTTCTTTAAATTCCTGTCAATTCACTAAATACCACGAGGGACTATGAAAAATGTTAAAACTTAAGGGACTAGCTAGACTGAAACTTTTTAAACAATAAAGACTAAATTAAAAAAAAAACACAAACATTAGAGAACTAAAACATATATTTAGCCTTTATTTTTATTGTCTTGTTTATGTTTAAAGTACTCAAGCTAGTTCGAACTTTATTTATTCTCACTAATTGTACATTTTGATTAATCACAAAAAGAACGTAGAATCTAGAAATGAAAGGCTCGTTTGGTAACGTTCATATTTATTGTTTATGTTTCTTTATTTTTAATGAAGAAAAATGTATTATATGGTTTCAACCTCCAAGAATTCAAGTACGATAAAATAATATTTTTATTTATGTTTTGGAACAAATAGAAACTTGTTTTTATTGTTCCCAAAATTTCTATATAATTGTGGGAATGTTCCAAAAATAGGAGAAATAAGAAACAAAGTTAGTTGTAAAATACTTAGATTTTTTAAGAAAATTGAAAACGAGAAACAAGAAACGGGAACGTTACCAAACATGCTCGAAATGATTGAGTTTGTTAACCACGGTGGTTCCTCACATGTTAGTTTTAATGGTGATAATAGTGACATGATTGAAAAAAAATACCTATTTGAGTTTAATGATACCACAATCGAAAATTTTCAAAATAGGACGAAAAAAAATCTTGTGAATAGCAGAATTGTTGAGACACTACATAATACCTTGAAAGTGAAATTTACCAAACAAAATATTACAACATAGAAATTAAAATAGTATACTTGTAAATATAGAAAAAAAAATTAAAACGTTATGCACTGATATATTTTAGTACATTAATATTTTGAGTTTCTTTTTCCTTTGATCTCTATTGTTTTAAAATTTTCGATTTAATTTCACCGTATAGAAATTTAAAAGTTGGTTAATAAGGATCCGTTCGATAACGTTTCCATTTCTTGTTTCTTGTTTCTAATTTTTTTAAGAATTCTAAGCATTTTATAACTAATTTTGTTTCTTGTTTCTCCATTTTTTTTGAACCATGCAATACATTTTTTTCATTAAAAATAAAGAAATAGGAACGTTACCAAACGTGCCCTAATAAGTTTACTTAACATGATACTTGGTGAATTGACATAAATTTCAACAATAAATTAGGTCAGCCATGTCATAAAATTTTATGATTGTTCCTTTAAATTTTTGAGGAGTTCGGTAGAAATTTTGACTTTTTTTTTTACTAGGAAATTTTTTTTAGTATAATATGTGGGATAGAGATTTGAACTGATAAACTTGTTTTAACCAGTTGAGCTAGGTTTAAATTTGCTTTTAAGTTTAATTTTTTTACTAAATTTTCATAAATTCGTAAATATTATGTCAGGTAAGTTTATTATTATATAATTTTAATATTCACCGATAAAATGGTAGAATTAGAAAATGTTAAAATATTGAAAACTTCATTGAAACTTTTTAAATAATTAAGGTAGTCGCGAAAACACAAAAACACTTAGACTACACTTCATTCAATAAATGGATTAATTACATTTTTTGAGTTCAACAATATATAAGTTGCTCTGAACTTTTGGTCGAGACTAATACTCTTAACAAAATGAATTAATCATTAATTATTCTTTTTTTTTGCTAAATTAATTAATTATCACCGCTGGTAGCCTACTATTAGTAGTTTAATTGTTTAACAATATTTAAGTCAATTATTTCACATCCGAAAATCTATTTCGCTCGTTACATTCTTAGCATTGTATTAATTTTTTATTGACGTGTTGACATTTTCATTAATATTTCTATATGTCAATAGATTTTGTTGATGTTGTTTTTCAACCGAGCTCACACGCCCTTGATGAGCTGACATGGATGAATAGTCGATGTGCTGTGAACCTGTACAAGGAACAAACACTTCGACACCCAAGTCAATACGAGCTCAAAGTCTTAGGTCGTTCTCAGAGAGATTTGCATACCTGATCAATAGGGGAGTGGTCCCTTTTATAGGCGGGGGAGACATGACTGTTAGGTTGTTACGACATGTGGTTACGGCTGTCGGACCC